ATAAACCAACCTAGAAATTGCTTTTTGAAAAAAGACTATAGAAAACAGACAGAAAAAATTAAAGAATAAAGACCAGAAGTTCATGATTAATAATGTAACACTTATCATCTGAATGGGAACTGATCCTCTTTGAGTGACTGAAATGAGTAAAAATAATACCTTTCATTGATGTTTGAAATTTGGGAGTGACTTATAATAAAAGGTTAGCACAGTTTTAAAAACCTCTGGTTTGTATTTTCTTATCTGCTCAAACAGAAATTTTTAAGTTACTCAATATTCTGTTGTTTTTTATTTTCAAGAATATAAGTATTCCAGAATATAAAAACTTACTTTCTCTTTGCTTTTCCCAAGCCACTGCTTCCTGCCTCCTCAGGAATCCTATTCTCCTTTTCTGAATCTTTAGGGGACAGCCTGAAGAATTCTCCGATTCCTTTTTGCCACTTGGGAGTTGGGCGCACACAAACTGGATTCCCTCCTGCATACTTATTTTCAGCTATAAAATATAAACAGATAGAACTAAATAAAAATTAAGAATACAATCACTATTCCTTAAAGGGAAAGTTAATTCTTTAACATCAAATCTAAAGGGTATTAAATGGTGTTACATCCATCTTTAAATTTTAAAATGTGACATGATAAAGCTGTATTCAGTTATAATATAATGTATAACACTTTATTACACTTATCCTTTAGCCTAGAAAAATAGCATTAACAAGATGTTTACAACTAGAAAATATTTTTCATATTTTGTCCACAAGCTGAGCTATTCAGTTAGTCTTATGCACTGTCATACTAAAGTTTGACACACTTTTTCCTGTATGTTCTTAACTAGAGCTTGTGGAATTAATCTTCCAAACTGCTCAATTTCCTCCTAAAAGGAATGAGACAGCAGATGGCATGGTATTTTCTCAACTTCTTGCACAGAATGAACGATGTGAAACTATTTCCCTGGCCCGGTTTTCCCTCTTAATGTCCCAAAAGCAGTAACAGGAGCTGCAAAACACACACACCAATACCAAACTAAAATAAAAGGAAAGAAAGGAGAGAGGGAGAAAGGGAAGGAAGGACAAAGAAAAATATGTAGAAATGAAAACAAAAACGTGATTAGCACTGTCAACTATAGTCCCGATTCTTAATCTAGTAAAGAGGTACTTAAATAGCCTCTTACAAGAAAAAGCCCAGTTGTCAATACTAAGAAAACTAACAACGCTAAAGTAGAAAAGAAATACGGGTTTGAAGAGAAACTGTGTCCATCCCTAACCCGAGACTTGAAATTCGTTACAATGCGACCCACTCCGCCCCGCACCCCTACCCCATCCCGCCAAGAGACAGGCCCGCTCATTAGAGCAAAAGGCAAGGAAGAAATTCGGGGGTGAGGAGCTCAGGAAAAGAAATTCCACGGTGGGGCAGGGGGCTCGCAGGTCAGGAGAACTGTGGTGCCAGGCCTGATCTCCTTTTGAGAAGGTTTCTCCAGGATCTTGCAGGGGCGCTTTTTACCTTTCCTTGACGAAAGCGGCGTGGAATTAGCGGCGGAGGTGGAGGAACCAAGCACCTTCCTGGGGGCTCGAGAAGCCACCACTGCGGAGAGAGGCAAAGAAGGACATTCAGAAGGGGGCACGAAGAGTCTCAGAGCCACGTTCTCACCACACTCTCCGACCCAGCCTATTGGAGAGGAGAGGCCCGCGATCCAGAACAGCAGATAACCCTCCCCTGTCCCCGCCGCGTCTTCCTCCTCGTTAAAGGGATCGGGCTGCTGCTTCCTGACGGGCTGGACCAGTTTGGCGGCCAGGGTTGTGGGCAGGTCCGGCTTCTCCCGCCCGCGGCGGAGCTGCCCAGGGAACCACCTGCCCTCCACTACCATGCTCGCCTGCCTCACCTTTTCTGTAGGTGCCAGGGACACTGCCTGCTTTAGTCCGCACCATGTTCAAACACGAGATGAGAACAACCAGCTGACTCCCCAGCCAAAGATGTTTCACGGGACAAGGCCCAGAAAACGAATCTCCCGCCACAGTTTATATTGGTCCCTTTCCCGCGCGCTCCACTGACTCTCCCAGGACTCCGCTCCCATTGGTTCCGCGCCTTTCAGGTGCAACCAATCGCCAGTGTCCAGTGGTGACCGCGGCGGGGTTGGGCGCAGTGCTGATTCGTCCATCAACTTGCAGAAGCTTGTGATTCGTACCCGCCTGAGGTGGGCGGTGCCAGGGCGCTTTCCTGGGGTGCCCAATGTGTGGGTGCTAAGAACTAGGTAAAGGGGCCTGCTTAGAAAAGAAAACCCAGGAAAGACAGCGAATTCCAACATTTCTTTAAAAGTTAACCACAGGCTTAAATCCATAATGTCATTCCTGGAAGTGACACCTGAAATGAAGCGGACTTTTTAATATCTCAGGTATGAACACTCTTTACAGCATCCATAACTAAAACGAGTCTATGGAATGGGAAAAAGCTAATACAATTTATTTACAGGGATTTTTTTTTTTTTTTTTTTTTTTTGCCAGGCCGTGCAGCTTGTGGGATCTTAGTTCTCCAATTAGGCATCGAACGCTGGCCCCAGCAGCACTGAAAGCTCCAGCCCTTACCACTGGACCACCAGGGAATTCCCTATTTACAGGGATTACAAAAAAAAACCCAAAGCTTTTTAGGATGGTGTGAAACAAGAAAAAACAGTGAATTGTATATACATACATACATTAAAAGAAACATTATTATAATAATAAAACGTTTTCCCGAGACCTGTATGGTCTCAGAATTCCTTTAAAATATGTCATATGTGCCAAAGGCACATCCCTGGCACATAGTGAACATGATTTTAGAATAAGAGATAACTATTTTCCTTCCCTATGCTTATCTTAAGTACTCACAATACCCCCTGAGCAATGATTTTCACTCTCTGAATACCACGCACTAAACCTGATTAAATGAATTTGCCTTAGGATGTACTTTGTTAAATGTGCACTTGAAAGGCAAACCTGAAAGTGTAAGCATGGCATTAATTGTCTCCAATAAATTGTGCTTGAACTTTCAGAATAAAGGCTTCTCAGTACTTTAACAGAATCAACAACTACTTTGTGTTTTTGAATTACAGAATCTAAACAGCAGATGAAATTAACATTATAATAGGAGGAAAGGTATTGCAAATTACCTGTAGCGTTGTCTAAATCTTAGTGTCTAAAATTACAGCCAAAGTCCTATCAGAAAAATCAACAAGGCCTAGGGTATCCCTCCTTGTTCTTTGTCATCATGCCCCTCTCAATACACAATGTTTCTTCAATGCACATTTTTTCCTTTTCAGTTAAGTGGCTTCTACAAAGGCCTGAATTACCTAATTCCCAGATCCTTGTAGAGATTAGAACTGAGTTAAGAATCTGCTGGTCTTTTCTCTTAGTCCACATGCCAAATATACCTTTGCACACAGGGGCAATCTACATATTATAGCTGTGTTTGTATGTCTGTCTTTTTAATGCCAATTATCATAAGGAAGGATGCAAATTAGAATAAAAACTCAGGAAAAAAGCAGTGATGTCTAGTAAAAATTCTTAATTTAAATGTTTGCTTTGCAGAAGTGCTTCTCCTTTACAGTTAAAATAGTTGTGTGGTGTGAACCTGAAAATTTTGAAGGCCTAAGGCATTAAGAAAAGTTATAGTATGTACAAATGAAATTTCTGCCTAAATTTATATAAAAGAATATCTTTAAGTCATATTAAATAGATGTGCTTACTTTGCTCAGGCATAAATTCATTTTAATAAATGGTAATATGGTAAATGGCATTACATTACATACATTACAAACTAGAGATTTCAATCAATAACATATTCCTTATGAAAAAGAACACTTTTATTCTTGAGGACCTAGTAATTTCATCATAATGTGTGATATACTGAGTCTTATTGTACAAAAAGCTTGTCAGTCTATCTTCAAGAAGTTATCATTTTAGTTATGGGAACAGAACAGATATAAAAACAGGTAAAGGATTTGGATATGTTATAATTAGTATTAAATGTAGCAGACATCTATGAAGAAACAAAGCTTGTACCCACTATTTATGAAAATTCAGTCTTTTTAAGCTGGAAAGCCACATATTTTCCAAATTAATGACAAAAATAATGTAAACTCAATGTAAATCAACACACATATGATTTTGATTATGTCGGTGAAAACACTAACATAAAAAGGTGAGACAACATCCAATTGATGTAATTATTTAGTATAAATAGCCTAATGGGAATGAAGAGCCTATCCATGTAACACAAAGCCAGTCAAATTGATCCATGAAATATATCAGAAGACATTATGTTATGCTCTCCAGAAAAATCTGGCTAAATTTTCCCCAGTCCGTTGTCCCAATGGAGTAGGGAAGTAGCAAAAGACCCTTAAGTCTCATCGTCTTGAGTTGAAGTACCTTTAATTTCTTAAAAATCAACACAGAGAATTTATATGGAAGGTCTTCAAAGCCAAACCACATCACCTGTTTTTATTAAAGTTTTTTTTTTTTTTTTTCTCCCTCGAGCTTGCAGAGTTGTCTTGGCCCTCCTGGAAAGGACCTGGCTCAAAAAAGCAAAAAGAGGTTTTAGGAGCGTGAATCAGGTATTAGACTACAAAGGGTATTAATAAAACCACTACCACCGGAGCAAACCCTTACAGCGTTTACTCTAGCCTTCAAGTGCTGTTTTAAATATTTCACATAAAGCCGGAACAGTTTAAAAACTGGACCCTCAGGTTACGGGGTATTGTTTTGTTTTTTCCTAAACTGTAGTTTTTAGAGGTATTTGTATTGTCTTAGCAGATTTCCCAATTCTCGAGTCCTACATTTAACGACCCGGAAGAACCACTCGCAGATGGAGATCTGGTACAAGTGACAACATCAGGAAGCGGGCAGAAACAGGAGGAGGCACAGGTGGGAGGGATCTGTGCTGGGGGCGGTGCTACCAAGCGGGGCAGTGCAGGCTGACGGAACCCGCGCGAGCGAGGACGGTGTTGCGCACGGGACTAGTCCGGCGCAGGACGCCGAGCTTTTGCACCCCAGCTGGTTCCGGCTGGGGAAAATGGCGGTGACTGGGGCGTTGTCCCAGGAGCAGCTGGTGGGCTGGTGCACCCAGCAGTTGCGGAAGACTTTCGGCCTGGATGTCAGTGAGGAGATCATACAGTAAGACCGGTTCGGGTCAGAGGCGGGAAGGAGCTCTGGGATGTGCACTGGCTGAGCAAACGGGGAAACGGAGGGGGCTAAAAAGTTGATGAGAGTGAAGAAATGTGATAAAAGGGCTGCGGTCTATCTATGAGTGCCGAATTTTGACCTCTGGCTTTCTAGTTTAGCTTCTGGAATAGGGTGTCATGCTCCACAATCGTCTGGTGGGGCCTTTTTTTCCCCAGGAAAACGCCAAATCCCTGATAATTAGACCTGTAAGTCTGTCCCAGGAACCAGTTTCCTTATAGATTTTGGAGAGAAGGGGCAAGCCAAATTGTCTTTCCAGAAATTCCTTACTGTGAACATTTTAGTTTGCCCGATCCGGGTTGTGTCAAATAGGACCTGAAATTTAAATGGGGGTAGCGTGGTACTGTGTAAAAAATAGCTCCTGACTCGGGAGTCCCGGTTCTATTTTCTGTGGTCATTCACCAGTTTTGGAGCCTTAGGCAACTTAATTTTCCATCTTTGTACCTTAGTTTCCTCATCTGTAAAATGAAAAATTAGCAGAGATTATCTTTTATAACGCGTTATGATTGTAATGAAGTGGAAATGGTGACATGATTTAATATCTGCTTTCAACTGATTTAACTTTTTTTTTTTTTTGGCGATACTGCATGCCAGGACAAAAAGACGGTTGATGAGTGAGGAGGTGGGGGAAGTGCAGTGTACTGAGGAGCATAGGAAAAAGAACTCTAAGATTTGAGAAACTCGTAAGGTTAACTGCAAGGGATGAATTTAACTTGAGAACTAAAAGATGGGTAGGTGGCAGTGCAGAGTTCAGGAGGAGGGAAAAACTTCTACAAAAATTGGACTTAAAGAACCTGGAAGTGTTTCTTGATTTGGTTCCTTGCTCATTGTTGCTGAAACCTAAATTGCAGTTCTAGGGCTTTTGTAGGAGGTAAGGTGAATTTCTGATTTGGGGAGAAAATAGACTTGTTGACAAGGAGAGAGTTAAGAGAGCCAATTTTAAAGGATTATTTTGAACACTGGAATAGACTCAAAAATAACTCAGTTAAGCAAATATTATATGATATCACTTATATGTGGAATCTAAAAAATAATACAAATGATTTTATTTACAAAACAGAAACAGACTCACAGACATAGAAACAAACTTATGGGTACCAAAGGGGAAAGGGAGGGGGATAAATTAGGAGTATGAAATTTACAGATACACACTACTGTATATAAAATAGTTAAACAAAGATTTACTGTATAGCACAGGGAACTACGTTAAATATCTTGTAATAACCTACAGTGGAAAAGAATCTGGAAGAAAATGTAACTGAATCACTTTGCTGTACACCTGAAACTAACACAATATTGTAAATCAACTATACATCAATTTTAAGCACTTGCTTTTTTTTTTTTTTTTTTTTTTTTTTGCGGTACGCGGGCCTCACTGCCGCGGACCACAGGCTCTGGACGCACAGGCCCTGCGGCCATGGCTCACGGGCCCAGCCATCCTCCCGGACCGGGGCACGAACCCGCGTCCCCTGCATCGGCAGGCGGACTCCCAACCACTGCGCCACCAGGGAAGCCCTATACATCAATTTTGAAAAATTGACAAAAAATATTTTTTAAAAAGATAAAAAAAAAAACAACCCAGCCAAATTGTATGGCTTGGCTTTACCCTTGTTTGAAGGCAAGATCAGGTTAAGTAGTTTTCAGGCATTTTTTAAAGCAGTGGAATCCTGTCAAATGAAATAATGAAGCTTTGTAATATACCAAACAAAAAAGTCAATCAGTTTAAAAAAAAAAGATTGAGTCTCTTTTTGGTGAATCAACAATGGAGTATGAATAGTTGCAATCTTCTCAGTTTCAGAATCCAGTTGTATTTTGTTGCTTACACAGTATTAGGAAAATTCCTAAGTCTCATAGATTGTGGTTTAATAGCTCATTGTGCAGCCTTAGATTTTCCTCAGTTAAACTTATCCACACCCTTAAAAGAGGAGTGATCCGAAATTTCTGTTTTAAAGTTGAAGCAATAAGTATGGCTGTACACCTGCTTGCATTTAAAAATATTTATAAATATAAGTTAGACAAGAATTATTCAAAACTTAAAATAAGCCCTAAAGCTACCTATAATATAATGCTATTGAAAACACTTATTAGGTTTTCACTAGTTATTGCACAACAGGCTATGATGGCACAATGAAAGCGTTGGCTGTGTAAATTTGCTGTGCCTTGCCTTGCCTGATATTCATTGAGAATTACCCAGGTGTACTATACTAGTGTGCTAGCTAGAACAATTTGACATGAGCAGCCTGAATTTTTTAAAAAGACAGCACAGACTTACTACCTTCCTAATCAGTGATACATTTATGAGACCTTAAGGTCTATGCACAGAGTGAGCAAAATAAACTTCGTTCCACAATCTGCATTAGTTCATGTTTTGGATGAATCTATTTTGTTAAGATTTGGTATATAACACATTTGAATATATGTTGTTATTTATTATACTTTTTAAAATAGTTAAATGATATTTATTCAATTGTTTCTGAAACTCTTTAAATAATTCCCTAGTGGTTTGAACACTCCAGAGTTAAATGATCCTTGAGGTTCCTTGCAGCTCTGTGAGTTCTTGATGCCAATTAATCTTTTTTTTTAATGTTTTAAAATTTTATTTATTTGTTTATTTTTGGCTGTGTTGGGTCTTCGTTTCTGTACGTGGGCTTTCTCTAGTTGCAGCGAGTGGGGGCCACTCTTCATCGCGGTGCGCGGGCCTCTCACTGTCGCGGCCTCCCTTGTTGCGGAGCCCAAGCTCCAGATGTGCAGGCACAGTAGTTGTGGCTCATGGGCCTAGTTGCTCCGCGGCATGTGGGATCTTCCCAGACCAGGGCTCGAACCCATGCCCGCTGCATTGGCAGGCAGATTCTCAACCACTGCGCTACCAGAGAAGCCCGCCAATTAATCTTTTAATGGGGCCTGGTAAGTTTGGGGATCAAGTTGATTAAACCTTGAAAGTCCTGAAAAACAATTGTGTATTTTTTTTAAAATTTTGTGATGGATTAGAAGATGCTCTTAAAGAGGCACAAAGGCACAGGTTTGTTCACTTATAGATTGTAACTCTGCAAATCGACCACCACGTTAGGAAAAGAACCCAGTACATGTACTACCAAGGATGGGACAATTACATGATTTTTTTTTTTTAGTTTAAAGGATATAGCAGGGCTTCCCTGGTGGCGCAGTGGTTGAGAGTCCGCCTGCCGATGCAGGGGACGCGGGTTCGTGCCCCGGTCCGGGAAGATCCCACATGCCGCGGAGCGGCTAGGCCCGTGAGTCGTCGCCGCTGAGCCTGCGCGTCCGGAGCCTGTGCTCTGCAACGGGAGAGGCCACAGCAGTGAGAGGCCCGCGTACCACAAAAAAATAAATAAATAAAAAAATAAAGGATATAGCATTATTGTAATAATTTTTCTTACTATTCATACCAGTGTATCTACTTTACAGTTTCTTCAGATCATATAATGCTTTCATGGTCTGATATCTTAATTTTTTCACTTCTTACTTCTCTAATGACATGACATAGTCCCTGTAGAAAACTGTAGGAAAAAAATCAGAAAAGCGTAAAGGAGGAAACCAAGATTACCATAATACCACAACCCAGAGATAACCATCATTTCTCTCTTAGTGTTTTTTCCTATGCATATTATAATACATTTCCAAAATATATTCATTGTAGGGAAAAAAAGAAAATAAAAATAAACCCAAACTCTTTTTAATCATCTCTCTCTTAGTGGTAATCATTTTGGTGTGTAACCTTCTAGCCTTTTTTCTACACATAAGTGTATGGATATATACATTCCTTTTATAGCAATTGGGATCATATGCTGTACAGTGTGTCCCACTATTTCACTTTATATGAGAGTGTTTTCTCAAGTAATAATAATTACTGAGAAATTACTGAATTGCTGAATTCCCTGGCAGTCCATCGGTTAGGACTCTGTGCTTTCACTGCCAAGGGTGCGGGTTCAATCCCTGATTGGGGAACTGAGATCCCACAGCTGCATGGTATGGCCAAAAATAATAATAATAATAAAGTAAAATAAACAAGTCAGTGATTTTTAAAAATAATAATTATTGAAAAATTTTACTTTTTGTGGTCGCATATTATATTTTGTAAAGTCCAAAAACTTGAATTCATTTGCCCCTTTCATTGATGAATGTTTAAAATAGTTTCCAGTTTTTCACTAACTCAAATAATGATGTAGTTAATTTTTTTGCATAAACTTTCCTGTGTCTCTTATTTCTTAGAGAGTTCTGTAAATGGAATTATTGGATTCTTTTTAAGGCACCTTAAATATATTGGCTGATTGATTTATAGAAAAGTTGTACTGACTTGTACTCCCACCCCATTTCACTTTTAGGAACGCTTCATACCATTTTCTTAAAATAGATCTGCTCATTCTGATGTGATGCTAATCTTGATTTATAATTTTTAAGAATGTTAAATTAGTAACTGGTTAGCTTATAGTATATATTCATATTTTTAGCAAAAAAGAAATTTTAGGTTTTGCAGTATAAAGATGAAGTAATTTGTACTGTTCCTAGGAAAATATAATGACTGCAGATGTGTGGTTATGGAAAGTATTCTTTTTTTTTTTATAACAGTTATTTTTAACAATTCTTTTGAGATGTAAGTTTTATTCAAGTCACTTGTTTTAAATGTAAAATTTGATGAGTTTTGACAAGTATATATAGCCTTGTAACCATCCCTCAATCAAGACATAAGTAGTCCTTGCTTTGCACAGTAGTATGGAACCATAAAAATGACCATGCAATCTACAATTTAAAAATCTTAATAAAATGGTCTTAATAAAAAAATGGGGAAATTTTTGATTATTCCATGACCTTCAAAAATGTGTGTCAAAATATTAAAAACTCTCCTGTCAGAATAAATTTAAAAAATAGTAAAACAAACACTTATTTAGTACACTGTAAATTTTTTAAAAAATTTTATCTTATATTGGAGTGTAGTTGATTAACAATGTTGTGTTAGTTTCAGGTGTACAGCAAATTGATTCAGTTATACATGTACATGTATCTATTCTTTTTTTTTTTTTTTTTTTGCAGTATGCAGGCCTCTCACTGTTGTGGCCTCTCCCGTTGCGGAGCACAGGCTCCGGACGCACAGGCTTAGCAGCCATGGCTCACAGGCCCAGCCGCTCCGCGGCATGTGGGATCTTCCCCGACCAGGGCACGAACCCGTGTCCCCTGCACCGGCAGGCGGACCCTCAACCACTGCACCACCAGGAAAGCCCTATCTGTTCTTTATCATTCTTTTCCCATTTGGGTTAGAAAGTATTCCTATGTTAAGGACAGCTCCACAAACCTATCTTCAAAACACTGATTTGATTCTAGAAATACAAGATTACATGAAGGTTATATTATGAACTACTTGAGGTCAGAGTCTTTGTTCTAATCAAATTTATTTCCCTAGCATCTAACCTAGAACTTGGCTCAAAATAAACAGTGTAATGGATTAATGAATGTTTTTTACTACCTTGATCTCTGTTACGATTATTGAAAAACATAGTATAAGCTAGCCCTGTTTTAACAACTTATTTCTTTGCTTCTTGAGGTATGTTTTGTCAATTGAGAGTGCTGAAGAGTTACGAGAATATGTTACTGACCTTCTTCAGGGAAATGAGGGCAGAAAAGGTCAATTCATAGAAGAGCTTGTAACTAAATGGCAAAAGAATGATCAGGAGCTGATTTCTGATGCTCTGCAGCAGTCCTTCAAAAAAGATGGTAAGTTAAGTTAATGTAATTAACTTAAGTAAATTAAAGTAAAGGTTGAAATATTGATAAATTAGTTGGTTTATAGGACCTGGTATGTTCTGTCACCCATATTTCCTCACAGCTAACTTAAGCAGAATCATATGTATACATGTTTTTAGTTCAGTTCTACTTGATCTGTAATGAGTATTGTTTTAGTTCAGACTTCTTCAACTTAGAAAATATCACAAAAATACTTGTTTATAGATACAAATGTGGCTTCAGAATAACTTGAAAAATTTATACACAGATTAAAGAAAAACTTTAGTTATGTGTATACATGAATGTAAGTAAATGTTGACCAGTTTTAGTATGAATAGTGTTTAGAAGTAACTATTAAGTTAAACAGTACAAAAGATGAGCACCAAACTAAATAAGTCATTATTATTATACAGTCTAAAATATCAGATTTTAATTTAACTTTTTTTTTTTTCTGGGTGTGCCGCACGGCTTGCGGGATCTTGGTTCCTGCACCAGGAATTGAATCCAGGCCCTTGGCAGTGAAAACGTGGAGTCCTAACCACTGGACTGCCAGGGAATTCCCTTTAATTTAACGTCTTAATTTTAGCCAGTAGTCTTTATTATTGACTACAATATTGAAAATGATGGTTTAAATTTAATTCTGATTTGAGAGGAAAAGATAATTTAAAAGCCTGCCTGACTTCTTATATTGACTCTAAGTATTAAGCATTGCCTTCTCTTTGTTAGCTATTAATTCACCAATGAATCCTACTATTTCCAATCTATTTATGTACATATATATTTATTTATTTATTTATTTTCTTCTTCTTCTTCTTCTTCTTTAAAGAAATTTTAGATGGGCAGAGGTCAGGAGACCAGCTAAAGAGGAGTAGGCGGAAAGGGAGAAACAGACAGGAAGTTCCTGCATTTACTGAACCTGATACAACCATAGAGGTCAAAACACCTTTTGATTTGGCCAAGGTGAGTGCTTAGAAAATGAGGCTTTTCTGGCTATATGGAGAAGAGCAAACAACTGATACATTTCAGAGAGCAAAGGGTATAAATTGGTCTAGAATGGCAACTTTTCAACAAATGCATGAATTTTAGAGAGTGATAATGATAACATATTACTTTCTATATGGTAGATATTTTTTGACAACCTGATTAAATAAGTATTAAAAGGACATCTTCGGGCTTCCCTGGTGGCACAGTGGTTAAGAATCCACCTGCTGGGGCTTCCCTGGTGGCGCAGTGGTTGAGAATCTGCCTGCTAATGCAGGAGACACGGGTTCGAGCCCTGGTCTGGGAGGATCCCACATGCCGCAGAGCAACTAGGCCCGTGAGCCACAACTACTGAGCCTGAGTGTCTGGAGCCTGTGCTCCACAACAAGAGAGGCTGCGATAGTGAGAGGCCCGCGCACCGCGATGAAGGGTGGCCCCCGCTTGCCACAACTAGAGAAAGCCCTCGCACAGAAACGAAGACCCAACACAGCAAAAATAAATAAATTAATTAATAAACTCCTACCCCCTACATCTTATAAAAGAAAAAAAAAAAAAAGAATCCACCTGCTAATGCAGGGAATACGGGTTAGAGCCCTGGTCCAGGAAGATCCCACATGCTGCAGAGCGACTAAGCCCGTGCGCCAGAACTACTGAGTCTGCACTCTAGAGCCTGCGAGCCATGACTACTGAGCCCATGTGCCACAACTACTGAAGCCCACGTGCCTAAAGCCTGTGTTCCACAACAAGAGAAGCCACCGCAATGAGAAGCCCTCGCACCACAACGAAGAGTAGCCCCCACTCACTGCAACTAGAGAAAGCCTGCGTGCAGCAACAAAGACCCACTGCAGCCAAAAATAAATAAAATAAATAAATTCATTTTTTAAAAAAAGGACTTCTTCGCTTAGAGATTATAGATAGATAGATAGACGTGATAGAAAATATTTAATGAAATACACCAGGACTTCAATTTCAACATTTTTTGTGGCTTTGTACTAAAAGAATGCACAATTCTAGCTGTTTTAAGAGTGTTCCTATTTTAGGCCATTCACTACCCATCATCATCATCATTATCTAGCATTTAGAGCTCTTTCATATTCTCTCTTGGCTCTAAAAATAGCCCTGTGAGGTAAGCAGAAATATTTTTATTCAGGGCAATTTGACAAGCTAAATTTCCCAGCAGAAGGGAATAGTTAATTATGCTAAGACGGAAGAGTAGTGATCAAAAAGTTCTGAATGATGACCATGCAATAAAACATGGAAAAGGGTTTCCAAAATAATGTGAACTTAAAAAAAATAGTCTTAAGCCTTTTATTAATTGAAATAAAATGAGCAAAGACTATCACAAGCAAAAGAAAAAGCACAAATGACCAATAAACATTAAAAATGTTTATCCTTACTAGTAATTAAGGAGTCCAGTTTGTCACCCTAATTGCCTGAACTCTCCTGGTTTTAGCACTGAAAAGTCCTGTATTCTGAGATTTCCCCTAAGTCCTGGGCAAACAAGGTTGGTTGTTTACTTTACTAATAATCAAATAAATACACATTAAATCCCTGAGATATGGCATATCAAATTGTCAAAGATTTTATTTAAAAAAATTTTTTTGGCCATGCCATGCAGCATGTGGGGTTTTAGTTCCTGGACCAGGGATTGAACCTGCGCCCCCTGCAGTGGAAGCTTGGAGCCTTAACCACTGGACTGCCAGGGAAGTCCCTCAAAGATTTTAAAAACAGATACAGTGATGATGAAGTTGTATTAAAACAGGAACCTCCTATACACTACTTGTGGCAATGTAAATTGGTTTAAGCTCTCTGGGGGCAGTTTGGCAGCATGTATCAAGAACTGTGGAAATATTCATATACTTCTGACTTATTAATATGACTTAAATATCTAACAAAGTAATCAGAAATGCACACAAAAAATGTATGTTCTGTATAATGTTATTTATAATATTGAAAATATGAACTGACCTGATTTTTTAGCAGTAAGAGACAGATTAAATAAATTATTATTCCCTCATTTGGTGGGATATCATGCAGCTCATTTCTTTTTTTTTTAATAAATTTATTTAATTAATTTATTTATCTTTGGCTGTGTTGGGTCTTCGTTGCTGTGCGTGGGCTTTCTCTAGTTGCGGGGAGCAGGGGCTACTCTTCACTGAGGTGCACGAACTTCTCATTGCAGTGGCTTCCCTTGCTGTGGAGCACAGGCTCTAGGTGCGTGGGCTTCAGTGGTTGTGGCACACAGGCTCAGTAGTTGTGGCTTGCGGACTCTAGAGCACGGGCTCAGCAGTTATGGCACACGGACTTAGTTGCTCCGCAGCATGTGGGATCTTCCTGGACCAGGGCTTGAACCCATGTCCCCTGCAATGGCAGGTGGATTCTTAACCACTGCGCCACTAGGGAAGCCCGCTCATTTCTTTTTAAAGCTGTGGTGTATACAGAACATTGTTTCTAGGGGAAATACAGGGTTAGGTTTCTGGGAGCCTCTGATCACATTTCCATCAACCAATCAAAACATAACCTCATTTTATGTGTGTTTCTGTTTAAAGACACTTTATTTAATATATATTGTTGATCATCAACATTGAAGTCAAAGCCAATAGCACTGTAACTCATGCCTGAAGAAAGCTTATCTAATACACCTTTCTTTATTATTATTTATTACTTTTTATTATTTATTATTATTTTTATTGAATTATAGTTGATGTACAATATTATATGTTATAGGTGTACAACATAGTGATTCACAATTTTTATTTTATTTTTTAATTTTTATTTATTTTGGGGGGGCTTGCAGGATCTTAATTCCCCCACCAGGGATTGAACTCATGCCCCCTGCAGTGGAAGTATGGAGTCCTGACCATTGGACTGCCAGGGAATTCCTGGTGATTCACAATTTTTAAAGTTTACATTCCACATATAGTTATTATAAAATATTGACTCTATTCCCTGTGTTGTACAATGTATCTCTGTAACTTATTTATTTTATACATAATAGTTTGTACCTCTTAATCCCCTACCCCTATCTTTTATTCTCTATATATCTGTGAGTCTGTTTCTATTTTGTTATATCCACTGGTTCATTTTTTAGATTTCACATATAAGTGATATCATACAGTATTTGTTTTTCTCTGTCTGACTTATTTCACTTAGCATAATACCCTTCAAGTCCATCCATGTTGTTGCAAATAGCAATTTTTCATTCTTTTTATGACTGAATAGTATTCCATTGTGTATATATACCACATCTTTATCCATTTATCTGTTGATGGACACTTAGGTTGCTTCCATATCTTGGCAATTGTAAATAATGTTGATATGAACATTGGGTATATGTATCTTTTCAAGTTAGTGTTTTCATTTTTTTTTGGATATATACCCAGGAGAGGAATTGCTGGGTCATATGGTAGTTCTACTTTTAGTTTTTTGAGAAACCTCCATACTGTTTTCTTTTTTAATTAATTTATTTTATTTTATTTATTTTTGGCTGTGTTGAGTCTTTGTTGCTGTGTGCAGGCCTTCTCTAGTTGTGGTGACCTGGGGCTACTCTTCGTTGCAGTGCACAGGCTTCTCATTGCGGTGGCTTGTCATTGCAGAGCATGGGCTCTAGGCACACGGGCTTTAGTAGTTGTGGCTTGCAGGCTCAGTAGTTGTGGCTCGCAGGCTCTAGAGCACAGGCTCAGTAGTTGTAGTGCACAGGCTTAGTTGCTCCGCAGCATGTGGGATCTTCCTGGACCAGGGCTCGAACCCATGCCCCCTGCATTGGCAGGTGGATTCTTAACCACTGCACCACCAGGGAAGCCCCTCCATAGTGTTTTCCACAGTGATGATACCAAGTTAACACTCCCACCAGCAGTGTATGAGGGTTCCCTTTTTTCCACATTTTCACCAACATTTGTAATTTGTGGTCTTTTTCATGATAGCCATTCTGAGAGGTGTGAGGTGATATCTCATTGTGGTTTTAATTTACATTTCTCTGATAATGAACGATGTTGGGCATCCTTTCATGTAATATACCTATTTTCCATATAAGGTACAGCCTCTTGTGCTTAAGAACATTAGATAGCACTTCCTATTATGCATGGGGGCCATATTAAATGGTGAGATTACCAACAAAAAGCACAGAAATGCAAAGAAATGGCACTAAATAGACTTAGGATACTTGTTTACAGTATGAGAGCTGAAGCAAGAAGGCAGATCACTGCATTGCTCAAACTTAGCTGGAAATGTGTGCATTTGGTGACTCAAATGTTTTGCCATTCTGTGCGTGTCCATGAATGCCTGTGAAAGCACCTGGAGTATTGATTTGGGGGTTACAAATAAATATTAGCAAGTAGGTGAATTTGAAGATCTGGAACCATGAAAAATGATGGTCAAACTGTATGTCCAGTTCCATTTTTGGACATGTAAGTAAATCTTAAATCTGTCTTCAATTTTCTCAGGCAATTCATTTGGTTATTCAGAAGTTTTTATTGTGTGTCTGTTGTGTGTCAAGAACTGATTTAGGCATTTGAGATATAGCAATAAACAAGACTCATTAAGGTTTCTTGCCCTCCTAGAGTTTACATTTTAGTGGTTCAGAGGAGAGGTAGAAAAGATAGTCAAAGAAATTTTTTTAAAGTAATTATATATTGTGAAAACTAACATGAAGGAAATTAAAAGGGCAGTGTGATAGGCAGTTATTGGAAGAGTGGGAGCTAATGTAGGTAGGGTATTCAGGGAAAGCCTTTCTGAGGGAGTGAAATTACAGCTAAGACCTGAACACTACAAAGGAACCAGTATGTAAAGAGATGGGCTGGGAACAATGCAGAAAGAGGGAATAACAAGTGCAAAGGGAAGATGGAGAAAAGTGTTCTCAGAAGTATCAAAAGCCCTGTGTGGCTGGAGCATAGTGGACAGGGGAAGAATGATGTGTAGGTGAGGCTAGAGAGCACCTGAGGGCCATATGTAAGGCTTTATAGGTCATTATAAGTAGCTTGGATTAAATTTTAAGCACAATGGGAAGACAGTGAGTGGTTTTGTTTTTCGTATTTTGTTTTTTAATTATTTAACCCCTCCTCCCCACCCCTCTGAATGGTTTTAGGCAGAGGAGTGATATGTTATGAATTTTCTGGCTTGCCCTGTTCTCCCCTTCTCTCCTCTATTACTCTGTCTTTCCTCCTTCTCAATAAATACTTGCTGCCTGTTATGGATAAAAGACCTAATCAAAGCACAGCCCTCAATCCCTCAAATGTGTTATTTTAATGTAACTGGATATTTTAAAGGGAGTGAGATAGAAGTTTCTGCTTAGAGATTTTAGTCTTCCCCTCACAAACATCCCTGAGAGCAAAGGTATAATTGACCAGTTTGAAAAATGGCTACCTGCTAGAATTAGATAACATCCTTAGCACTTGTCTTAGATTTTTTTTTTTTTTTTTTTTTGTGGTACGCGGGCCTCTCACTGTTGTGGCCTCTCCCTTTGCGGAGCACAGGCTCCGGACACACAGGCCCAGCGGCCGTGGCTCTCGGGCCCAGCCGCTCCGCGGCATGTGGGATCCTCCCGGGCCGGGGCACGAACCCATGTCCCCTGCATCGGCAGGCGGACTCTCAACCACTGCGCCACCAGGGAAGCCCTGTCTTAGATTTTAACATTTACCTCCGTTGACTTATTTGATACTGTCTGTATATCTCAAGTTTTGGCTTTGGACATTAGGGCATGTTACCTCTCTTTATAGTAACCAAAGAATTGTTACCTTCATTGTTATAACTCTCCTATCCACTAGGACTCCTGAGATTTTTCTTTGAAACTTCAGTCTCTGGAAATGATTGAGAAACTCTCAATTTAAAGGGAAAGTAGGACTACACCATAGGAGAGGCATCTATGCACCTTAAGTGTCAAAAGCTGCTGTGGTCTGAATGTTTGTGTACCACTCAGAATTCATACCTTAAAATGCTAATGCCCAGTGTGAATTAGGAAGTGGGGCCTTTGGGAGGTTCTTATGTCATGGGGGTGGAGTCCTCATGAATGGGGTTAGTGCTTTTATAAAAGAGACTTCACAGTCCCTAACCCCTTTTGCCACATACAACAAAGAAGTAATTTCTGTGACCTGGAAGAGGGCCCTTGCCCAACCATGCTTGCACCCTGAACCTGGACTTCAGCCTCCAGAGCTATAAGAAATAAGTTTCTGTTGTTTATAAGCTACCTGGTCTGTGATATTTTGTTACAGCAGCCAGAATGGACTAAGGCAGAGGCTGATATAGTTCTCTTTTTAAAGTTTTTATTTTATAACATACATACAGAAGTGAATAAATGAATTTTCACAAACTGACCATACCTGTATAGCCAGAAATAAAACATTACCATTCCTCTAAAAAACTCCCATGCGCCCCACAATGACAACCCTCCCAAGGGAAAACACCATTTTGACTTTGAACATCATAGATTAATTTTGCCTGCTTATGAACTTTGTATGAATGGAGTTAAATAGTATATACTCTTTTGTGTCACATGGTTTATCTCATTGCTATATAGGATTCTGTTAAGTGAATATTCAATCTACTGTTGAACATTTGGGTAGTTTTCCAATTCTAATGCTGCAGTGAATGTTCTTGTATATGTCTTTTGTTGAACATATTTACTCATTTCTTTTGAGTATATGTCCAAGAGGTGAATTGCTGGGTCACAGGATATACATATGCTCAGCTTTAGTAGATACCAGTTTACACTCCCATGAACGGTGTGTGAGAGTTCTAATTGTTCTATATCCTTGCCAACACTCTGTATTTTCTGTCTTTTCAATTTAGCTATTCTGGTTGGTGTGCAATGGTATTACACTGGTTTTATTTTATATTATCTTGATGACTGATGAAGTTGAGCACCTTTTCATGTATCTGTCGGCTGTTTGGATATCTTCTTTTATGAAGTTCCTGTTTAGGTCCTTTGCCCATTTTTCCACTGTGTTATCTGTCTTTTTCTTATTGAGTCAATTTTTTATAGATTTTTCTTACTTTACTGATTGTTCTTATTTCCAGATCTGTGAATATCACCTGCTTTTAGAGGCATTTTTGTTTTCTATGATCCCCAATTTAGCTATACATAAATATGTCACATAAACAGCTTTTATTGCTACATTTACCTTCCACCAGGGCTGACAGCTACTAGCAGAAAAAGCAGAGTATATTAGCTAGTTTTTCTAGGGCATAATCTTTACTTAGACCCTTGATTATAACTCCTTTGTATTTCTCCTACTTCCTTCTTTCATGGTTGCTGGGTAGGGTGTAAGTTATTATTGAACAGAACTGAGGTTTTTCTCTCTTGACTGTTTTCATTGTCATTAATTATTTGATGTTATTTCTGATATCTTTGTACGATCAGGCACAAGAGAACAGCAGCTCCTTAAAGAAGAAGACGAAGTTTGTCAGTTTATATACAAAAGAGGGACAGGACAAGCTTGCAGTCCTGATCCCTGGTCGCCACACTTGTGATTGCCTGGGCCAGAAGCACAAGCTGATCAATAACTGTCTGATCTGTGGGCGTATTGTCTGTGAACAAGAGGGTTCCGGCCCCTGCTTATTCTGTGGTACTCTGGTAAATTGTTTCTTTCCTATTTCACTACACTTCAGTTTTATACATAGGGACATTCACACCCCTAGTAATTTCTCTTTTTCTTAGTAAATTTCTTCCCTAAGGTGTCCAGTAAATTCTTTTTTTTTTTTTAATTTTATTGTTTTTATTGAAGTATAGTTGATTTACGTTGTTGTGCCACCGGTAAAATTTAGTCAAAAACCCAAGTTGAGGGCTTCCCTGGTGGCGCAGTGGTTGAGAGTCTGCCTGCTGATGCAGGGGACACGGGTTCATGCCCCAGTCTGGGAAGATCCCACATGCCGCGGAGCGGCTGGGCCTGTGAGCCACGGCCGCTGAGCCTGTGCGTCCAGAGCCTGTGCTCCGCAACGGGAGAGGCCACAGCAGTGAGAGGCCCGCGTACAAAAAAAAAAAAAAACCCAAGTAGATATCCTAGAACTGAGGCCTATTTGTGAGAAGGTTTTGAGAACATACCTTGTTGAGGGATCTAAGTCTTGTGTCAGATTAAGTTCAATTCAAGAAAATTTTAGGGCCTGAAATGTCAAAAATTTTTGTCAGTCTTCAGATGTGGCTCATATTCCTAGGGTTACAGAGCCACTGTGATGTAATCCTCAAGTCTATAGCTTCTTTTTCCAGAACACCTTTTTTTTTTTTTTTTTTTTCCGTACGCGGGCCTCTCACTGTTGTGGCCTCACCCTTTGCAGAGCACAGGCTCTGGACGCACAGGCTCAGCAGCCATGGCTCACAGGCCCAGCCGCTCCGCGGCATGTGGGATCTTCCCGGACCGGGGCACGAGCCCGTGTCCCCTGCATCAGCAGGCGGACTCTCAACCACTGCACCACCAGGGAAGCCCAACACCTCCTTTTTATAGCTCCTCATTATCTGAGTAAGTGACCTCAAAAGTGTAGTTGTAATGACTCTGTTACAAACACCCTAGTGAGTTGTCTGGAAGGCTTATTCTGCCAGTTGAGCTGACTGGCAGAAGCAATGGCATTTGGTATTGGTGAAGGTATACATTTTGTGTTGCTTTGTTTTCCCTTCTCTGGTGGGGCCTTTAATTTTTTAATGTACTCAGATAATAAGCTGATAGACAATGGATGACCTGAAAAATGTAGTATCTAACATCAAAAATGTTCATAAAACAGCAGCAAATGTCCTCCCATATGGGGCTTTTCTCTAGAGAAACACTCTACAGCTGCTGTGTGCCACTCAGGCAACTGCTAGCAAGTACAGTGTTTTCTGTTAGGTCCCTTGGATCCTTCGGTGAATTCAAGAAACAGAGTAATGTAAAGCAGATAGGCCTTGAGGTCTTGCAGGTTCATAAACTTAATATGAAATTGTTTTTAAGTAATCCCTTCTGCTTTTAAGTAACCTCCCTTCTTACACTTCTAGTGATTTTATAATAAACAGAACTTTTTCTTTGCTTAATGTTTATTTATAAGCAGGTAATGTTTGAAGGCAAAGAAGCAAAATACGTATAAAAGCTAGACTAGTTTTCACTGCTTCTTTTTCTGGCTCTTTTTAATAAGACACTTGTGGGACTTCCCTGGCTGTCCAGTGGCTAAGACTCCCTGCTTCCATTGCAGGGGGCATGGGTTCAATCCCTGGTCAGGGAGATAAGATTCTGCGTGCCGCATGGAGCAGCCAAAAATAAATACATAAATAAATAAGACACTTGCTTAGCAATTCTCTCGTAAGACTTGGATTTCACGATTAGAACTGGAAGGCTATAAAAAAAAGTCTTGTATATTTTTTCAGTATTCTCAGTGGTGGCAAATCTTTATCTTTTGAAAATGGGTTAGATTATTTTTTTTAACTGTCATTCAGGGACACTTGTAGTGATATCAGTTTTTTGTATGGTTCACAAAAGAAGGGAGAAATGGAAAGAGACTAGGGCAAAACTCATTTGGGTATATTTTTTTTGGTATACTTGTCTGGATTAAAAAACACTGACAGTCTATTTTATTGCCATATCTAATGTGTAATTTGAGGTTACTTTTTAAGTATATCAAGCAAACACTATCATTTAACTATTGGATCATGTGTCTTACTCTTATTACTTTATAGGTATGTACTCGTGAAGAACAGGATATTTTACAGCGTGACTCAAACAAGAGCCAGAAACTGCTGAAGAAGCTCATGTCAGGTAGGCAGCAGTCTTCTAATTGGGTCACTGTAGTTATGTACATTTTGTTGTATCTGTGATTGTTTCTCTTACTTGTATCCTGGTATGTAAGATGCGATTTATTTACTCGTTTATTTTTTTTTAAGTTCTTATTAAAACCACCTAACATTGAGCAAAAAATCTAATAATAATACTATTGGATTATAACCCAAAGAATAAAATTAATGTCATGAAGTAACTGAATAAATGAATAAATGGGAGAGAAGGAACTGCTCTTATAGAATTCCAATTAATAAAGTGAAGGGATTATGGTAACAGAAAATTACCATGTCAACACCACAGTAGTATTGATAGTAATTGCTACAGGCAAGATCCACCAGTAGATGCTAAAATTATTGGATGAAAGTTTAAGAATTGGAGATGTGCTAGATCATGAAAGACAAGGAAAGACTGAAGAATCGTAACGGTATGGAGGAGACTAAGGAGACACTACAACTAATTGCGTTGTAGGATCTTGAATCGGATCCCTAAACAGAAAAATAATATTAGTGGAAAAAAAGTTGAAATCCAAATAAAGTCTGTAATATAGTTAATGGTATTGTACTATTGTTAATTTCTTACTTTTGATAATTGTACTATGGTTATGTGAGATAAGATACTAACAAGGGAAGATGAATGAAAGGTATACAGGAACTCTTAATTTTTTTGCAACTCTTCAAAGTTTTTTATAGTTAAAAAAAGCATGACAAAAATAGTTAAGGACATTTTTAAAGGGAAAACAATATACTCATTACTTTCCATTTGTGCAAATATTTTGTTCCTGCTTTAATTCATAGTTGTTTTTTAAATATAGATAGATTGGTTGGTATTATGAAGTAGCAATCCTAGTGTATATAGAATTTTACGTTTTTCCTTTTTTAACTGTTTTATAATTATTGTTTATGTTGCCATATATTCTTCATATTTGTAATTTTTAGTGCTTAAAAATAGTCATTAAATTTATTTATTATAATTGATTATCTATTTCCTCATTACTGGATATTTTGACTCTTTCTGAATTATAAATAATACCACAAGTGGTCAACTTTGTTAATATTATATCTTTGATTTATTTCCTTGGGATAAATTCCTAGGAATGGGATTACTGAGTCAAAGAATATTATCATTTTTGACACTTAAGATGTATTTGCCATATTACTTCACCAAAATATCGTACTAGTCTACAACAATATTAGTATTTTACCCCAAAACCTATCACTATTGGGTTTTGACATTTCATGTTATTTTATTTTTATAGTCGTAATTTATTATTATTATTATTAATGAGGTAGAACATGTCTCCATATTTTTTCCATTTGGATTTTTCTAGGGTCGTTATTATGAGAAAAGGTAGTTCTCAGTGCTTTTCTTATATTCAGAACACAAGAATCAACCTCTTTTTTTAAAAATTTTAAAAGAAAGATTTGACAGGACTTTTTTTTTTTAGGACTTTAAATAGCCTAGAGTTTTAGGTGTAGGGAAAGGTCAGCCTTCATTATAGCTTAGTTGTTTTCCTAACACATTTTAGATCTTGGTTCTATCATGATTTATGGCTATCTTTTCTGAGATATATACATTTATGGTATGTTGTCACAAAGGAAGATAACACATGGGCCGAAAAATGAATATGGGCTTTAGAGTTAGACAGACCTAACTTTATTTTATTTTATTTTAAATTTATTTATTTATTTATTTATTTTTGGCTGCGTTGGGTGTTTGTTGCCGCATGTGGGCTTTCTCTAGTCGCGACGAGTGGGGGCTACTCTGCGTTGCAGTGCGTGGGCTTCTCATTGTTGTGGCTTCTCTTGTTGCGGAGCGTGGGCTCCAGGCGTGTGGGCTTCAGTAGTTGTGGCACGTGGGCTCAGTAGTTGTGACTCACGGGCTCTAGAGTGCAGGCTCAGTATTTGTGGCGCACGGACTTAGTTGCACCGCAGCATGTGGGATCTTCCCGGACCAGGGCTCGAACTCGTGTCCCCTGCATTGGCAGGCGGATTCTTAACCACTGCACCACCAGGGAAGTCCAGACAGACCTAACTTTAAATTTTGTTTCTACCTTTTAATTTCTGACTTACTGAACTCAGTAAATTTACTAATGTCTCTGAATTTCAGTTTCTTTATCTGTAAAATAAAGATAATATAAACTGTCTTACAGGGTTATAGTGAGAATTAAGTACTATAGTACGTATGAAGTGCCTTAGCATCTGATAAGTTCTCGTTATTCATTTCTGTCCCTCTGTGCAATTTCTTCTCTTTTTTCCTTTTATTATTTAGTTCTTAGCTTTGATATATAAAAGTATGTTCAAAGGTGATATTTAGCCCTACTCAATAAAGTTTTTCTTATAAGGCATTTTTATATTGTGTTGTTAAACAGTTTGTTACCCTCAGTGATCCACATCTCCATAAGGGAAGAAGTGGATCCTTAACATTTATTGAGAATGTATTATGTTTCAAGCGCTGCTTGATGCCTGACAAGTAAAGCCTGGCCTGTGTACTTGTTTGTTTTCCATTGAAATGAAGGCTGTCAGTCATTAGGGGCACAGCCAGATCTACTGATATTTTGTTCTTTGCTGCACAGCGTTACAACTAATTGGTATGATTCACTGACACCATTTGATTTCCTTATTGAATTTCAGGGACAGAGAATTCTGGAAAAGTGGACATCTCTACCAAGGACCTTCTTCGTCATCAAGAATTGCGATTTAAATCTGGTCTGGAGAAAGCTATCAAGCATAAAGACAAACTGTTAGAGTTTGACAGAACTAGGTATGATGTGGTTAAAATAAAAAATGCTAAGAAATAGAGTAGTCCATTACTTTGGCACTTGATACCTTCTTAGGGTGGACTATGAAAGTATTTACAACAAAAGAAGAGCCAGATGCTCTGTGGAGGAGGTCTATAGCTTGTTTTTGAATCATGTCTGAATAAGATAGGCTCCCACCGAGAGGATCCTACCCTGCAATATTTTTTGATTCTTGGCAAATGCTAGTGTACCCCATGGAAAGTTGATTTGGGTTGACACAGTTCCTCACTTGTTTTACTTGAAACCATCATTTATTCAGTCAGCATATGTTAGAGTGCCTACCATGTGCAAACTGTTGGGGGGCCTCTGGATATTCCATAAGAAGCTGTCTCTGGGAGAGTGTTAACACCACCTCATGGGAAGACATGATTTATCCTCCCTTTTTCCTTTGACACTAAATTTGTTTTCTGATTCAATAATGTCCCTAAATTGAGTTTTGCACTCCTACACTTTTGTCATTGAGCCCACTCACCTCTCTTTAGGAGACAGATTTATGGATTTGTTAGTTCTATTTTTTATTTTTTTCTCTTTCATTTTTTTCTTCTTCTGGAAAAAATATGTTTTGAAGACCAATTAGTGGTAAAGAATGTTTAAATAGGACTTACACGCTCACTTCTCAAGTGGCCATGTGAGAATCCTTAGAAAGACCCTGCATCTCTTACTGTGGTAACTGAATATGTCTATTCCTAGCATTATAATCCTTTGGTTAGACACACCTGCTGCTTTCAAATCATTTGCTGTGAATACATGAGATATACTTTGAAAGCTCTTCATTAATAAGCCTGTCACAAGGTTTGTGACTAATATTTGCTCTTCATCCTTAAATGTCACTTTTATCCTTACTCAGTGAAACTCATTATTAGAAATAGAGTACATTTTTTGACAAACAGAAACTGGAAAAGGGTCTCTCCCTATTGGCATTATTGCTCTTATGCTGGTGAGTTTCTAAGGACGCCAATTTCATTATGTAGGCTTGTGTATAGTACCACTCATAGTCTACTTTAAAACTTTTATAATTCCAGCTGAGTCCTGAAAGAATGAAATCTGAATCTGATTTCAGTATTCCCGTATGCCTGAATATATCATACTAATTATTAATTATGCAGTTGAGACTGATTGATGATTTTGGAGTAGTCACTTAACTTCTTTGAGGCCCAGGTTTATTATCTGTAGAAGGAGAGAGTTGGATTATCAAGATTCCTTCTAGTTGTTAATTTCTTTGTTGCTATGATCTTAGAAATAGGCCTGATTGTCATATCTTGGAACTTGGCCCTTGTAAATATGTTAAATGAGGGACTGGGGATAGGGTTGGGGTGGGGATGGGGGAGGTGGTGAAAACTGACATATAGTAGTAGAGTATTAAAGATATCCTAAGAATAAGCTTATAGGACTGAGAATCCAGGATGGAACTCCAGTTTCTAAGGGAAATAGCGGCAATTGGGCCTAGCAGGAATAGTCTAGGTCCCAATTGTAGAAGGACTAGGATATTGAGTAAGCTGCCAAGACATGAACTCAGATGCGGCAGAATCAGACATAAGCCCAGTTATAAGAAGGTGAGGGCTGGACTAGTAAGAAAATAGGAGGACAATAGATTTTGGTGCTGTGTCTTTTCCTCCCCAAGGATAAGATTCGTTCTAAGAGCTGAGCTGAGTCTGCAGTGGGAATAAGGTATACGCAGAAGCTGGAAATCACGCAGAGTTTGACCTAGTTTTGGAACGTTCTTGAGCATCTATACTTGAGATAATAACCTTCAGGACAGCAGAAGAGTGAGCTACTTGACACAGCTTCCCAGTAATCAAGTCCCTGTTTGTCAACAGGTGACCTAACTGTTGACCGAACTGTGTCAACACAAATGCCATGTGTGCTTTTTTTTTCCTTAGCATTCGAAGGACCCAAGTCATTGATGATGAGTCAGATTACTTTGCCAGTGATTCTAACCAGTGGTTGTCCAAAATTGAACGGGAAGCCCTACAGAAGCGAGAGGAGGAGCTGAGAGAATTTCGACATGCCTCTCGGCTCTCGAAGAAGGTCACCATTGACTTTGCAGGCAGGAAGATCATGGAAGATGAAAATCCTCTAACTGAGTATCACAGCAAGTAAGTGGACAACACCAGAAAGGGACTGAAAGAAGGGGGCAGTTTAACTGTAAAGGATTTGCCCCCCCACTTTTAATGAGTCTGTTATTTTTGTTAATTTTTAGAGCAACATATTCATTTGGAGTAGAAACATGGAATAGTAGCTAAGAAAATTTTGGAATTGAACAGTGAGGGCCACTTGACCTACTAGATAACTACTGTAGTTTTATAAAAAACTGTTTTTAAAACAGTGAGGTACAGTTTGGGCACAGGAATAGATGAATGAAATGTAATAGAATCTGGGAAGAGAGCCATGCGTCTGCATTGTGTGTGTATGGATGTGTGTCTATAGTTGTGTAAAACTTTTCTAAACAGTAAGGGAAGGATTAAATAAATGATGGTCCATCAGCTTTGAAAAAAATCTACATTAGATCTCTACCTCAAAGCATACTGTGAGAATAAGTTTGACTAAAGAGTTAAATGCAGGGACTTCCCTGGTGGCGCAGTGGTTAAGAATCTGCCTGCCAATGCAGGGGACACAGGTTTGATCCCTGGTTCTGGAAGATCCCACATGCCATGGAGCAGCAAAGCCCGTGCGCCACAACTACTGAACCTGCGCTCTAGAGCCCGCGAGCCACAACTACTGAGCCAGCATGCCACAACTACTGAAGCCCATGTGCCTAGAGCCTGTGCTCCACAAGAGGAGAAGCCACCACAATGAGAAATAAATAAATAAATGTATGTATGTATGTATGTATGTATGTATGTATGTATGTTACATGCAACGGAATTTCCTGGCAGTCTAGTGGTTAGGACTCCAAGCTTCCACTGCTGGGGCCCTGGTTTTGATCCCTGGTTGGGAAAGTAAGATCCTGCAAGCCAAATGGTGTGGCCAAAAAAAAAAAAGAGAAGAAAAGTAAGAGTTAAATGCAAAAGAGATAAAAGGATCAGAAAGAAATAGAATAGTAGAAATTTAGGAGAATATAGTTAATGTCTTGGTATGATAAAGTTCTTTCTAAGCAAGATACAAAACCCAGAATTCAAAAAGACAAAGATATTTTAAATCACATAAAGAAGTACAATACTGAGAGAAAACATTTTAAACGGTTTTAACAGTTCAAAAGAGCAATATCCATAGTATATAAAGAGCTGCAAGTTAAAAAGACACATCCAGTAGAAAAATGGGCAAAGGCTAAGAACAGACAATTTACAGGTGAGGAAATACAAATAGCCAATAAACATTTGAAAAGATGCTCAGCTATTTATCAGGGAAATGCACATTTTGAAACATAATGTATCATTAAATTGTCTGAAATTTGTAATTTATAATATTGCATAATCTTTGAGTGTAGGAAAATGGATATGCCCTGTTACTAAGGACGGGAATATTAAAATGTTCAAGTCTCAACACCAAGAGTGAACCCAAATGGAAACTATGGATTTTGGTGATACTGATGTGTCAATATAGATTGATTAATTATAACAAATGTACCTCTCTAGTGAGGGATAGCTGATGATAGGGGAGGCTGTGCATATGTGAGGGCAGGAGGTAAATGGGAAGTCTCTGAACCTTCCATTCAGATTTGCTGTGAACCTAAAGCTGCTCTAAAAAATAAAGTTTATTGAAAAAAATTTACATCATGGCCAATTTCAAGTTACCAACATGAAGTCACTGAACAGAGTTGAGAAAAGATACACATATTGGCTCTAGCACAGTACTGAAAAGAAAGCACGTGGAGATCTCACTCCACGTTTTGGAAATGGCATACATATCTCTCTGCCTCTCTGTCTCTGTCTCTGTGTCTCTCTCACACACACACACACACACACACACACACACACACACACACGGAGAAAACTGGATATTGGTGAACACAGTAATGCTTTCTATGCGGTCCAGTCCTCGGTCTTTCTCTTTCATTTGTGGCAAATCCATCACAGAATTTTCCTAATCAGAGGTTATTCACTCCCTAAAACAAATTCTACCACTAGCTTCAAAATAATTAATTTGTTTTTAACTATTATATATATGCTACACAGATATAAAGAAAAAATAAAATTATTTCTGGGTGATGGGTTTATGAATTTTTCATTTTCTTTCTATTAATTTGCATTTTCTAGTTTTTCTGTAATAAACATTGATTGCTTTTATAGTAAGAAAAATCATTTTTATGTGTAAGAAAAATCATTTTTATGTTCAATAAAAAATGGTACAGCCTTTTAGAAGTGAAATTGGACAGTATCTCAAAATTTAAATTGTGCATATTTTTTGACTTTTTGACACCAGGTGCCTAGATGCTAGTTTCTTCATCTCTTTCTCAACAGTTAAAAAAATACGTTTGCCATTCTGATACATGAAAAATGGTATTTCATCATAATTTTTATTCACTTTTTTTTGCTTTGCTTGTGTGCCAGTAAGTCTGAGCATTCTAAAAATATATTGATTAGCTATTTATACTATTTCTTTCATAGATTCTAGAGTTCTAGATATACTTAACCAGTGTACTAGGTCTCAAATCTATTTCCTTCCTTTAGATTCCATCATCCCCATCCTATTTTATTTATTTATTTTTTTGCGGTATGTGGCCTCGCACTGTTGTGGCCTCTCCCATTGTGGAGCACAGGCTCCAGACGCGCAGGCTCAATGGCCATGGCTCACAGGCCCAGCCACTCCGCGGCATGTGGGATCTTCCCGGACCGGGGCACGAACCCGTGTCCTCTGCATTGGCAGGCGGACTCTCAACCACTGCGCCACCAGGGAAGCCCCCCATCCTATTTTAGACTTGCCTCTTACCTCAAGTTCTTGTTTTGTTTTGTTTTTTGGTTCATGCCTTTGTTTCTGCTTTTTCCTTACTTTGGATATCCGTCCTCCAATCTTTGCCTTTCAGATATCTACCTCCCCTTTGAATGTACTTGGTACAACACATGGGATGATGGGATAATAACCACCAAATGGATTGTATCTATCTTACAGTAATAATTGCATCCTTCCTTGTTTTATCATCTTTATAGCTGTCTTAAACCTGCCACTTAGGTTTAAAGCTTCCTGAAGGCAGGAGCCCTGTCCTCCTCTCCTTTTAAGTTGCCTTGTGTATAAGAGGTTCCTAACAAATATCTCTTTAATTGTATTCAAGGTCGGGTTCAGCCTTTCCTACTAGTAGAAGCTTTTCATTATATCGTGCTTTAGAATCATCATCCACAAACATTTGTCAAGCATCTGTCAGGGACATGGAGTACAGCAGCAAGTAATGAAGAGCTGTAGAGCAGAATAAGATATGGTTCCTGCAAGACCTATGATCTCTTACTAACCAGTAGGGTTAGTTCCATAATCTTTAAATGAAATCATCACATGCTTCTATAGGTTGAGAGCCAAATATCCATAGCAAACACCATAGGCGCTGGATAACGTTGGGTATATTTGATGACTGTTTAAATAGTAAGTGCTACAGGACTTCAGAGAAAGGAATAAGTACTTTTATACTGGGCTGGTATAGGGCCTCCTTAGAAATTTTGGGCAGTGAAGCAAGAATAGACTTCAAATCAGCATGGAAGAGTGGAGAGGGACTGCTGAGTGGGCAGAAGAATAATTGAAGGTGTTGAGAAATAGGCTGCCATAGAATACTCTTCTGTGGGTCAGACTGTTTCTAGGCACCTTTTCTAATCTTGGCTTTTCTAATAATCTTGTTAAAGAGGTGAATGAGTGTCTTGTGCCCTACCTATTTTCTTAGTGTTCTGGAACTTCTACCAACTCCTACTCCTTAGGGTTCTTGGAGTGAAGAGAAGGGGACGTTGGTAGGGGGAGCAGGGAAGGTCATCCATGGACCCCTCTTTGAGTGTCAAGTTTTATTACTGTTGAAGAGTTTTATGTGTGTGCTAAATAAAGATATTCTGAGCATAGGACATTACCAATTATTGCATCCTTTTGTTTGTTATCACAGACTAGATGAGGCAATACATGCCATTGCCAATGGAACCTTGAACCAACCACCGAACAAATTGGATAGATCTTCTGAAGAGCCTTTAGGACTTCTGGTGAATCCCAACCTGTACCAGTCGCCTCCCCAGGTTAGTGGACCTTTGCTCTGATGATGGGAAAAGTTTGGGCCCAGATATTTCTCCTTTCAAATGTGCCTGTTTCATAGGCCGTAGATACCAGTCTGCTCTCTCAATACTCCTACCCATCTTATACTCTGACCCAATTTTTCCAGTTTTTTTGCAGCACTTGTGACAAGTTATCATTTGAGCATTTCCCAAGAGAAGGTTTTGTTAAGTGACAAGTTATCATTTGAGCATTTCCCAAGAGAAGGTTTTGTTAAGTACTATAGAGATTTTAAACAATAATCCCATGGTCCTCTTGTTAGTGTTCTTTCTCTATCTTTTATAGAATGTGGGTAGTCCCATAGTGTGGTGTTTTAAATTAATACATTAATTCACTTACTCATTGTTGTCATTCATTTTGCCGTCAGGTACATTGAGCATCTAATATGTATAATCACAGAAGTAAGTGATCAACCAGACACTGCTCCTATCCTCAAAGAATGCATAGACTAGTAGAGGAAAAGATTACATGGGCAGCTCTAATATTAATAGAAATATAAATAAAGTACAGTGGAAACCCAAAGGAGGGAAAGACAGTTGAGAGGAATAAAAGAGGCTTTTATAGGGAAGCTGGCATTCCTTAGAAGTAGATATCCAAGAAAATGGTGTTTGGGGATGGTGGGAAAAAAAATTCCAATGGTGGGAAAAAAAATTCCAATCAGAATTAACTATAGGAATAAGGTGTGGGATACACACACAAACACGTATATACATATATGCAGTTAAACAGTGCAAGGGAGGGTTGGGAGCACTGGCCCTCTGCATAGTCGAAAATCTGTGTATTAATTATAGCTGGCCCTCTGTAAAGCAGTTCCACATCCACAGTAGGTTCCACATCTACAGATTCAACCAACTGCCGATCATGTAGTTCTGTAGTATTTACTATTGAAAAAAATCCACTTATAAGTGGACCCACACAGTTCAAACCCATGTTGCTCAAGGATCAACTACATAGGGAATAGTGAATTTAGACTACCAAGATAGTACTCATAAAAAGGATTATCGGGATTTCCTTGGTGGCGAAGTGGTTAAGACTCCACACTCCCAATGCAGGGGGCCCAGGTTCGATCCCTACTCAAGGAACTAGATCCCACAGGGATGCTGCAACTAAGAGTGTGCATGCCACAACTAAGGAGACAACGTGCCGCAACTAAGGAGCCAGCAAGCCACAACTAAGGAGCCCTCGAGCTGCAACTAAAGAGCCAGCCTGCTGCAACTAAGTCCCGGAGCAACCAAATAAATAAATAACCTTTGCATTCTCTCTCCCTCTCCAAACATGGCAGCCTCAGCAAAAAAGAAGAATAAGAAGGGGAAGACTGTCTCTGTAACAGACTTCCTGGCTGAGGATAGAGGGACTGGTGGAGGAAGCACCTATGTCCCCAAACCAGTCAGGTGGGCTGATGGAACAGATGACCTAGAAGGAGATGTTTCAACCACTTGGCATAGTAATGATGATGATGTGTATAGGGCACCTCCAATTGACCGTTCCATTCTGCCCACTGCTCCATGGGCTGCTTGGGAACCCAATATCGACCAAATCACCACTCTACACTGCTTTTCTAGGGGACCTGCCCTATGATGTGACAGAAGACTCCATTAAGGAATTCTTTAGAGGATTAAATATCAGTGCAGTGCGTTTACCACGTGAACCCAGTGATCCTGAGGGTTGAAAGGTTTTGGTTATGCTGAGTTTGAGGACCTGGATTCCTTGCTCAGTGCCCTGAGCCTCAATGAAGAGTCTCTAGGTAACAGGAGAATTGGAGTGGACGTTGTTGATCAAGCACAGGATAAAGACAGGGATGATCGTTCTTTTGGCTGAGATAGAAATCGGGATTCTGACAAAACAGATACAGACTGGAGGGTCCGTCCTGCTACAGCTTTGATGACTACCCACCTAGAAGAGGTGATGATAGCTTTGGAGACAAGTATCCAGATCGTTATGATTCAGACTGATATCGTGATGGGTATCGGGACAGTTATCTTGATGGCCCACTCCGGGACATGGATCGATACGGGGGCCGAGATCGCTATGATGACCAAGGCAGCAGAGACTATGATAGAGGCTACGATTCCAGGATAGGCAGTGGCAGAAGAGCATTTGGTAGTGGGTACCATAGGGATGATGACTACAGAGGAGGCGGGGACCGCTGTGAAGACAGATATGACAGATGAGATGACTGGTCATGGAGCTCCAGAGACGATTACTCTCAGGATTATAGGTGTGATGATAGAGGTCTCCCCCAAAGACCCAAACTGAACCTAAAGCCTCAGAGTACTCCTGAGGAAAATGATTCCGCTGCTAGCACGTCCCAGTCCAGTCGAGCAGCCTCTATCTTTGGAGGGACAAAGCCTGTTGACACAGCTGCTAGAGAACGAGAAGTAGAAGAGCGGCTACAGAAGGAACAGGAGAAACCGCAGCGTCAGCTGGATGAGCCAAAACTAGAACGATGGCCTCGGGAGAGACACCCAAGCTGGCGAAGTGAAGAAACTCAGGAACGGGAACGGTTGAGGACAGGAAGTGAGTCATCACAGACAGGGACCTCAGCCACATCTGGCAGAAATGCATGAAGGAAACTGAGAAGTCTCTAGAAAAATGAAACACCCAGTAAAGAGGAAGACTGTCAGTCTACAACTTCTAAGCCTCCCAAATCCGAACAGCCTCTAAAGGTTATGCCAGCCCGTCCACCAAAGGAGAATGCTTGGATGAAGCGAAGTTCTAACCCTCCTGCTTGATCTCAGAGCTCAGACACAGAGCAGCAGTCCCCTACAAGTGGTGGAGGGAAAGTAGTTCCAGCTCAACCATCTGAGGAAGGACCAGTAAGGAAAGATGAAAATAAAGTAGATGGGGTGAGTGCCCCAAAATGCCAAAGTGGAAATTCCAGCCATGGTCCAGGAGATGGAGGGAACAAAGACCACTGGAAGGAGTCAGATAGGAAAGATGGCAAAAAGGATCAAGACTCCAGATCTGCACCTGAGCCAAAGAAAGCTGAAGAAAATCCAGCCTCTAAGTTCAGTTCTGCAAGCAAGTATGCTGCTTTTGCCATTGATGGTGAAGATGAAAATGAGGGAGAAGATTACACTGAATAGACCTCTGCATTCTGTGCTTTCTCCTAGTCTCTCACCACCCTGGAACATTCGAGAGCAAATCAAACCTCCATCCAGACAAGACAAAATAAAACTCATCGTCTCCTGGAGACCTTTCTTAACTTTTTTTTTTTTTTAAAAAGAAACAAAATGAAATTCTTTTGCATGCTGCTGCAGCCTTTAAAGTATTGAACTAACTGGAGAATCACCAGTGTAGCCAGAGAGAGACGTACAGCCTTTAATGCTGTACGTTTAAAGTTGTGGTGCGTTTTTATGATACGTGCAGTTGCCTGTGTGATTAGTGCCTAGGGGCCTCCGTTTAGCAAAATGGCAGTGATAGTGATGCAGTGTCTTGAATCTGGTTGGGCAGCAGGCAGGTATAAGGAAGAGTGTGAGGTTTCTACCTTTAATTCTTATCATCCAGTTATGGTATTCATGAATTCTCAAACATTATCTGAATAAATTCTCCATCCTCGGCAAGGTAGGTTTAGTCTCTGATGTTGTTTTAGTCTCCAGGAGGCTGCCAGCCCCTCCTCTTATTTAATTCTGAGTTACTGGGGCCAGCCTATGGGGGAGTTCCTTCATTTGTACCCCCCAGGGGGCTAGGTGGGAGTGAGTCTACAGGCCACTGAAGAATAGGACTGTTTGGTGACCTAAATGAATGGGGAAATCATGGTTTGAAAAGAAGCTTGGGGATTTGATGAATTATTTTGCACCAGTAATAGGGAAAATGGTATGACCTCCAGTAAACACATAATCGTTTACCTCCTGGAGCAGGAAACACTTAGGGGTTGTGGGAATTTCCAGGTCTTTTTTTTTTTTTTTTAAGAAGATGTTGGGGGTAGGAGTTTATTAATTAATTAATTAATTTTTGCTGTGTTCGGTCTTCGTTTCTGTGCGAGGGCTTTCTCTAGTTGTGGCAAGCGGGGGCCACTCTTCATCGCAGTGTGCGGGCCTCTCACTGTCGCGGCCTCTCTTGTTGCGGAGCACAGGCTCCAGACGCGCAGGCTCAGTAGTTGTGGCTCACAGGCCTAGTTGCTCCGCGGCATGTGGGATCCTCCCAGACCAGGGCTCGAACCTGTGTCCCCTGCATTAGCAGGCAGATTCTCAACCACTACACCACCAGGGAAATCCCTCCCAGGTCTTTTATGTGTCGTGGTTTCACCCTTTCTTAAACACTATCCCTTCTGAAAGTTCAAATATATCCATATTCTGTTGAAATCTTGAAGCTTTAAAAATTTAGACTCTTGTCATCGTCTTATGTTCCTCATGCTACTCTTTCCTGTTACCTTCCCACAGGCAGCTTCTGCTTAAGTCACATACTTGACCTCCTAAGCATTCTCTAGAGCCCCTGGGAGCTGTTCAGTGAGGAATCATTGCTTTTTCTCAAGCCAATCTTGGCTCCTTCATGTTTTGACACTCACTCCTTCCCTCCAGCCATTCATGCTCCTGCTACTTTGACCCCTTTGACACCTCAGAAAACTTTTCAATTACCAGTCTTAGATGGTGAGCGAGGTTGGTTAAATTGGGAGCCTTTCTTACAACCTTGATTGAGGTTTGGGGAGCTTTTTAAAAAACAAAAGTTTCCTTATCTCCAAGTGAAATCCCACACCAATGTTTGGATTTATAATGTGGCCTAGACCAATGTGTGGTTTTTTTGGTTCTCTTTTTTTTTTAGCATCCCTTGAGAGAATAAATGATAATGGAGAAGAGCAATTTCACAAGGTCCTGGCTTCTCTTGCAACACAGTAGCTTTACTTGCCTGCTTTTATGTGCACCTTGGTACTGTCAGCTCAACAGATGGTGTCCTTACGGGCAATATTGGTACCTGCAGAGAAAAGACATCTTGGTCTCCTCTCGCATCAGTCCTAGGTTAGACCCTGTCCAGCCATGAAGGGGTGCTGGTTTATGAGTGCTGCAGCAGTGAGCATAATAATCATTTACCCAGTGGACATAAAAGACATACCAAGTGAAGTAACTTTAAATAATTGGCTTGGAGTGCCTAGTAGCTAGGAAGTGGCTTTTAGAGATACCCAAGGTTGAGAGGGTATTTTTTTAAAACCATTTGCTATAGATGATGCAAAAGTAGGGTTTGCTCTCTTCATGTCTGCTCCTTCCAAATAGATGTGTCCAAAAAAGCTGTTTTTCCCCCCATTCCTCTACCCTGCCACCCTGTTAAAACAAACAGGCATTTATGACCCACTCCTCAATACATGTAAAATTTGTACAAAAATATCTTCTACGAAAGTGATTTGTAATCTATAGACTTCATACCTGGGAGAGGTCTTGAGATGTAAAATCCCATCCTTTAGGTTGTGGGGTTTTTTGTTTTCTCCAAACAAATCTGATCTTTAAAGTTCAAAATAAAATAAATAAATAATTTTAAAAGGGATTATCATGAGAAATGGAGTAGTTAGGCAGATAGAGTCAGATCACTAAAGAGTTAAGTGTTTAGCTAGGAAGATTTCACATTTTTATTTTGTAAATAAATATGAATCATAGAATGTTCTTGAGCAGAGAGATGCAATCAGAGCAGTGCTTTAGGGAGTTTGACTGGAGATACTCATTCAGCACTGTATACATGCCAGGTTCTTTGCTAGGTGCTGGGAAATTAAAAGGTAAGAGCCCTTAAAGTTTTTAAGGACTTCAAATTTAGTGGGAAGATGTGTTTGAATACAAAGAATTTCAGTTCCTTAAGATAATTGCTATGATAGACACATGTCATGGATACAGTAGGAGTTTAGGAGAGAGATTATAAACTCACAGAGGAGTCAGCAAAGAAATGGTTTTTGAGAGGAGACTTAAGGGATGAATAGGAATTTCCAAGCAGACAAATCTGGGGAGGGAATTCTAGGTAGGTGGTATAACATGTAGAAAGGCTTAGCAGCTTGAGAGCATTGTAGGTTGGGAGAACCACAAGTAATTAAGTACTGTTAGAAATTGAACTGCGCTAGTAAGTGTATTAGTTTCCTAGGGCAGCCATAACAAAATACCACAGCTGGTTGGCTTAAGACAACAAATTTATTCTCTCACAGTTCTCAACACTGAAGTCAAGGTGTTGGCAGGGCCATACTCCCTCCAAATGTCTATGGGAGAACGCTTCCTTGCCTCTTTGAGGTTCTGATGGCCCCAGGCATCCCTTGGTTTATAGCTGCGTAACTTTACTCTGCCTTTGTCTTTTCATGGACTTTTTCCCTGTATGTCTTTGTCTCTGTGTGTTTTCTCCTTTTATATGGATATCAGTCACTGGATTGGTGTCCACCCTAATCCAGTATGACTTTATCTTAACTTGATTACATCTGTTTCCAAATAAGGTCAATTTCACAGGTTCTGGGAGGACATAAATTTGGGACAGGTGCTACTCAACCCAGTATAGCAGGTAACATCTTACCATGAAAGTCCTTATGTCTAATACTAAGGAGTTTAGTTTTATTCTACAGTAGGCAAGGAAGAGTCCTTGAAGAACTTTAGCAGACAATTGGCGTGACTTCCATGCCTATGTAGAGAATGGATTAGAGGGAAGACTAAGACAGAAGCAGGGAAATTGCTAGGAAGATTATTGCAGTAGGGACTTCCCTGGTGGTCCAGCGGTTAAGAATCCACGCTTCCAGTGCAGGGGGCACAGGTTTGACCCCTGGTCGGGGAACTAAGATCGCACATGCCACGCGACCAGAAAACAGGTTATTGAGGTAGCACAGTGGGAAGATGATGAGGGCCCAATTTAGTGTTGCAGCTAGTAAGGCAGTAGAGAGTTACGTAGAGGCTGAAAATGGAGATGAGACTAGTTAGCAGGCTCTAATATAGTGTTACTGAAAGACAGTAAGATTAAGTTAGGAAAGTAGCTGTGAAGTAGAAAAACAGGTAGTATAAACAAGAACTGTAATAGAGATAGAACAGACAACTTGGGCCTCGGGATTGTTCATACGCCAACAGTTTTATGAAATCACCTATTTCCCCTGTAATGGATCAGTTCTGCCTCTGTGTTCCCACTTAAGGACTTAAATCCCTGTGTAGTATTTACTTAAATCTGCTTTATGTCATGGATAGTTATTTATGTGTCTGTCTTCTCGTAGGATTGTAAGTTCCTTGAAAGCAAGAACCATATCTTTTTTATATTTTATATGTCTCCCTACTTTATATGCTTTTCACATATACTGAGTTAAATAGTAAATGTTTGTGTGTTTTTTTTAAGCTATGACACAATTGATTACAGTCATAAAATTTTATTGCAGAAAGATTCTTAGAGATTCATTTAGTCCAACTCCATCATTTTACAGTTGAGAAAACTGAAACCTTTAAGGGTTAAATGATTGCTTGGAGTCTCTAGACTACCATTCTAGTATTTTTGTTTTCCCTATAAATTATTAAATAAAACATCAAAAAATTAACACACCTAACTCTAAACCTCATCATCCTAATAGAGCCTTTTTTTAAAAAAAAATAAATTTCAGAGCACTCAGTCTTCTTGCTCTGGAAGAAATGTTACCCTTTGTCATTCTCTGACTGAACTACTGCCAAGACTCTTTAGTCTCCTGTAATTATCTGCACCCTGTAATTTTGTGTTCTCTTTACATGATGGGAGCCTTGTTTCAGTAGTGCTTCATCCTGTCTTTTGGGGGACAAGTTGTTCATTTCAGGATAAGAGAATACTTCATGCATCCAATAGTCAGAACTGCTGCCCCCCGAAAGCATCTGTTTGGCTTTATCATGGTAACAGTATGTGACCCTTCATGACCCACATGAAGAATGTATGGACCAAAATGTTGAACCTTCATTTGGCTGATAGAATTATATTGGGAAATTGTCCAATACGGATCATTAATCATTTTAAAGTGGAAATAATTACAGACCAATTATTTGGTCTGATGGTTGTACTGTTGCTGGGATTAGGAAGCTGTGTGTGGAGAATTCAACATTATCTAACTATCCTTTAAGATGGGACCATGTTATCATACCTGGGACTCCTACTGAATTTATACCTTCTGTACGTTTTTTGACCCTGTTTCAGACAAAGATGGGATACATTTTTCTAAGAGAATGTTTCCAGTACGATCCATTAATATTAGAATTCATCTCATTTTGTATACCTACCCCAGATTTTTCCCTTGTCAGACAAAATTATATGTTTGGTTTCTTTCCTGTATAGTGGATAGATCAGACGGGTGCAGCCTCACAGAAGAAGGCTTTCCATTCAGCAGGATCAGGACTAGAGTTCAGTTCATGTCGGCATCAGTTTCGAATCCAGGACCAAGAATTTCAGGAAGGCTTTGATGGTGGCTGGTGCCTCTCTATGCATCAGCCTTGGGCTTCTCTGCTTGTCAGAGGGATTAAAAGGTAAGGGCAGAAATGAGGCGGACTTCCCTGGTGGTCCAGTGGTTAAGACTCCGTACTTCCATTGCAGGGGGCGTGGGTTCGATCCCTGACCAGGGAACTAAGATCCCGCATGCCATGCGGTGCAGCCAAAAAATAAAAAATTAAATAAAAAAAAAAATAGTAAGGACAGAAATGAATCTTGGAAGATTTTACATAAACTTGATATAGAATTATGGACTGGAATTCATCTGGGAGGACATAAGTTTGGGACGGATGCTACTCAACCCAATATAGCAGGTAACACCTTACCATGAAAGTAATCTAGCAATGATTTATAATACTCTGCGGCACATAGAACTTTAAGCAATGTATTCATGTTATGGACTTGTTCTTTACTGAATAGCTTTAAAAAAACTGAGGTTAGAAGGACTAAGGATCCTAGTCATAATAAAGAATAGAACATAAGTTTTTTCATCTTTGGAAGGAAGTCTATTGAGAAAACTTCTCTTGGCTTTGCCTTTGTACAATAATATATCACTCAGCAACCTTAATGGTTTGATCCTATTGGAAATTCAAAGTTTTTATGCCTATTTATTAGTTTTTTGAAGACACCAGCCTAACTGATTTTGTTTTTCTATGTATACATCTGTCTTTTAATCTGAGTAACCATATTGAGAAGCTATCTTACCACAAATTCCTTTTCTGCAAAAAGTGGGGGAAGTAGTGAGGGATAAGTAGAGGTATTATAAAGTTAAGTCGCGGTACGTGTTAGTGATGGTAATAGCTTACTATTCCATGGTTTCATATGTTTCTTCTCAATGCAACTTTTAAAAAATAGTTCTTTCCTTTGCTTTTATAAATGTAAATAGAAAATTGATAAATACAGAAAAGCAGCTGAAAAAGAAAGATCATCTATAATTCCACCACCTAGAAACAGCTACCGTTAGCATTTTGGAGTATTTATTTATATTCTTTTTCCTGTGAAAATTGTTACATAATGAGGTCATAATATATATTTACGTTTATGTTTTTCTTCTTTCACTTATCATTACATGTTCGTTTTCCCTTGTTTTCTCAGTTTTATTGAGATATAATTGATATATAACATCGTCAGGGTGTACAACATAATGATTACATATATATGTATATATTGCAAAATGATCACCACAATAAATTTGGTTAACATCCATCACCTTGGGCTTCCCTGGTGGCGCAGTGGTTGAGAGTCCGCCTGCCGATACAGGGGACATGGGTTCGTGCCCTGGTCTGGGAAGATCCCACATGCCGCGGAGCAGCTGCGCCCGTGAGCCATGGCCGCTGAGCCTGCGCGTCCGGAGCCTGTTGCTCCGCAACGGGAGAGGCCACAACAGTGCGAGGCCCGCGTACCGCAAAACAAACAAACAAACAAACAAACAAAACAAAACAAAACATCCATCACCTTGCATAGTTACAAATTTTTTGTTTCTTGTGATGAGAACCTTTAAGATCTATTTTCTTAGCAACTTTCAACTATACAATACAGTATCGTTAACTGTAGTCACCGTGCTGTACATTACATCCCCAGGATTTATTTATCTTATAATTAGAAGTTTGTATCTTTTGACTACCTTCATCCAGTCTGTTCTCCATATTTATGAGTTTTTTTTTCAGATTGCACATGTAAGATCATAAAGTATTTATCTTTCTCTGACTTATTTCACTTAGCATAGTACTTCAAGGTTGATCCATATTGCTGCAAATGGCAAGATTTCATTTTCTTTTATGGCTGAATAATCTTCATCCATTTTCTTTATCCATCCATTCAGTGATGGACATTTACATGGTCTCCATGTTTTGGCTATTGTAAATAATGCTGCAATGAATGTGGGGATGCAGATACCTCTTTTTTCCTTCTTATTTTATCTCTTAGAATTTTATATCCCTGGGAGTGTCCTAACTCATAACAATAATAATGCCTTATGTATTTATATTTAAATAGAATTTTACAGTTTTCAAAGCTGTATTGAAGTAGATCAGACCAGTATTATTACAATCTTGAACACCTAAGCAGGCAAAGGTAAAGGAGCTTGCTATGAATTACAAAGCTAGTTAGTGGCAGAGATGGAACTAGAGTTCAGGTTGTCAGAGTGCTTTTTCCACCCTTACTTTGTAAGCCTCAGTCATTTCTCTATTTCCTGAAAGAAAATTTATTATCAGAATTTAGGAACAATCATTTCTACTTTGTTGGTTTCCATGGTTAGTTGAGATTTGCCTCCTTCGTGAAGGTGTGTTACCATTTTTCTCCCCTCTTCAAGGTCAGGCTTTCTTTCTTTGGCTCCAAAATGTTTCATAATCCATGTATGTAGTGGCATTATAACAAGTGTATGTGAATCTGCTTCTGCTCCAGGGCACCTGGGCCCTCAGATGTCTATTCTTCTCATTCAGTTCTCTGCAGTTGAGGTGTCTTCCTTTTCCAAAGTAGAAAACTAAACAGCTTGCTTTCTGCAGAGGGAATCAGAATGTTTACATTTATCTCGTCCTGTTTTGGATCTGTGTTATCCAGATTTTCTCACTGAAAAGAACAGGATGAACAGCATCCAGCCCACAATCACTAATCCCACAGAAAGAAAGTGGGTGGTTCTGCCACATTTGTGAGAACGTTTTCCCAGTAACCCTGTGGATCATTTGGTGTAGAGGGAGAAATATATTGATTCATTCCTCATTTATTGAGTACCCACTGTGTGCCTGGTGCTCTTCCAATTGATCTATATTGGAAAACTAAGGGTATGAGAAATTCCGTTTCCCATTATAAGGCAAGTATAATAGGGTTATATTATCAAGGTACTTTATTTCATTTTGTAGGAACTAAAGGAGAAGCATCTTTTTGTAATCCTTGGAAAGTAGGCAGTAATACATTCTCTTGATTGCATTTTGTTATTCTACTTAAAGATTCTTTCAAACTAGCTAACGGGTTGTTTAATTATCTGCAAAGAACATAACCCTTTATAAAATACTTAGAAAATATAAATGAATGTGGTTGCAATTTAGAGTAAAGATGATAAGCATTTTTATTTACTTAAATTCTATTAAATAGTAATTATGAAGGTACTATTCTTGGGGAGTTATGTGTGGGTGAGGATTTTTCTGTCAGGTTGGAGAACAATGAACAAAATCTTTCATGACTCAAAGACAAGGATTTTCATTTTTTTGGGACAACTTGGATGCCTTGAAAATAGAAGATTTGGATTGTAGAAGTCCCAAGGCTAGTGAAAGCTTCATTTCTGAGTTACAGAGATCAAGTGAAAAATAGGAACTGAGAGAGATGAATTGCCTTTGTTCTGATGATAGGGAAAACTAGAGAACAGGGTTTATACTCAAGTGAAAGGTATTGTAGGAAAAATGTTTTTTACGAAAAATACCCTTCTTGGTGAGGTATCATATATAGATCTCTTGGTTCAACTGGATAATTTGCTGTACGTTATGAGATCTTCCAAGACACTAAAATTTAGATTCTTTCTACTAAATTTGTATTTGTTTAAGGGTGGAGGGCAGAAGCTGGTACACCCCACATAGAGGACGACTTTGGATAGCAGCCACAGCCAAAAGACCCTCTCCTCAAGAAGTTTCAGAACTCCAGACTACATATCTTCTCCTTCGTGGGAAAGGTAACGGCCATATATTCTTCTAATTTCAGTCTTACTTTGTGGAGAGAAGTCATTGATGTTCTTCTCCTTTCACCTCCTTCTTCCTGTGGCTTTTTTGTGGTTTCTTTTTTTTTGGCTGAAAGGGACTTTAAACTTTGTGTTTGTTTGTTTAGTAGCAAATCATGGACAGCTGTTCAAAACATTAATTCACCAAACAGTACAAATAAAAATATCCATTCCCAACACCAGAAATCAACCAACTAGTCTTAATTTTCTACATTTTTTTTATTATGAGAGTAAAATAACTACTGTAAATTCTGGGATCTTTAGATTGGGAAGAACAACCGCAAATAAGACTTTTTATTATTGGGAGTGACTCAAATAGACATGTGCTATCGGATTTGGACAGATCAAAGTTGGTTGACTTAAGCAGTGAGTTTTGACAGTCACCCCAAACACTCAGTTTGGATCCTAAAAAACTTCTGACCCTTGGATGTCTTGGCTTCCTTCCTCTTATTCAGCCCATACAGTAGTTTTGAAGGTAAAATGAGAGGATAATTACAGAACCACCTTTAAAAGTTAAGAAACCAAGCTTTAGGAATTAAAAGTGTATGTTTCCTTAAAAATGCATTTCTGTTTTGACTGGTATGACTGGGTTCTTTTATTTATTTATTTATTTATATTATTATTATTTGGGGGTGTGTGCACCCGCAGCATTCAGGATCTTAGTTCCCTGGCCAGGGATCGAGCCCACGCCCTCTGCAGTGGAAGTGCAGAATCTTAACCACTGGACTGCCAGGGAAGTCCCTGGGTTCTTTTAAATTCATATTTTGACATTCTTATGTTTTTTAACTGCATTTTTATGTTTTCTCTTGACACCTCAAGCTTGTTTCCAGAACCTGTCACCACCAAATTCTAGTCTGATCCAGTTGGGTATAGTGGAATTGATTTGTTTCGAGTGAAGTTGTGGGGTCCTTGAACTTCAATGGTATGAGGCTTATTTTCCTATAGTTTAGGATGTGCATAGTGGACTAAGCCAGCTACTCACTAAATGTTTTGCTAAAATACAAACAGTTGTGCCAAGTAAAAAGCCTCATTTTTTCCTTATGTCCATAAATAGATAATAGAGAAAGTGATTTGTTCAGAATTGAAGACAGATTTGTGAGTTCCAGGGTCACAAAGAAGAAATTTATGTAATCCTTCTGTTATTCTCAATTTAGAAGTGGAATTTCCCAATGACTATCCATCAGGTTGTCTTCTGGGCTGTGTGGACCTAACTGACTGCTTGTCCCAGAAGCAATTTAAGAATCAGGTGAGTAAAGAGTATTTCTCTGGGACAGATGCTTTGTTTGCCACAGTAGCTGACCTGTAGATCCTTCAACTCAGAGTATCCTGTAGATAGTAAGGAGCTAGAAACTGAATTTAGACATGTTTGGAGAATCTTCTAAGGAGGGAATATTGGGGAGAGAAAAGACCATGGGAGAAATGGAAAAAATTTAGTGATGCTTTGGTTCCTAGTGTGTGGAGGACTGGTACATATACATTTCTGCCTAAAAAGCTATTGCCACAATCCAGCTAATAGTGTAGAGTCCTCATCCCTTAATAAAACTTCGGCTTTTGGCAAAGAAATCCTTCATTATTCCTTGAATTATTTCAGTTAGGTAGTGGGAATGGTAGAATTTGTTATTACGTACTCTGGAACGTTTGGTCCAGACCAGGGAATTCATGAAAGACAAGTATGTTTGAACTCTGATTGCCTGGACCGTGCCAACTTTGGGTGTGTGTGTGTGTATGTATGTACATACTGTATGTATGTATTTTTATTTATTTTGATTACTGAAGATTGAACTGACGTAACTAGAGTACATTTTTGAACAGCAGAGGGAGCTGAAGGACTTTAGCTTAATTGGAAAATTCTTGAAATTTAGAGCCTTATGTTTAGTCTAGCAGGAATCCAAAGTGGGAAACTCCATCCTTAAAGCCTAAAAAGTCTTACCTAACAGTATGGTTTTCCTGTTTTTTGAACAGTTACTTTACACAATAGCGGTTCCATCACTGTGCTTAAGAACATATTCTTCAGCTTAATTTTCTCAGTAAATGCTTTGCAGACTCTTCTGTGCCTTTCATTACTGCTATTAGTGTCTGCTTTTTTTTATATAGGTGTATTAATTAATTAATTTATTTATTTATTTATTTTTGGCTGCATTAGGTCTTCGTTGCTGCACGCAGGCTTTCTCTAGTTGCGGTGAGCGGGGCCTACTCTTTATTGCGGTGCACAGGCCTCTCGTTGCAGTGTCTTCTCTTGTTGCTTAGCACGGGCTCTAGACACGCGGGCTTCAGTAGTTGTGGCACACGGGCTCAGTAGTTGTGGCTCGCGGGCTCTAGAGCACAGGCTCAGTAGTTGTGGCGCACGGGCTTAGTTGCTCCGCTGCACGTGGGATCTTCCCAGAGCAGGGTTTGAACCCATGTCCCCTGCATTGGCAGGTGGATTCTTTTTTTTTTTTTTAGATGTTGGGGTTAGGAGTTTATTAGTTAATTTATTTATTTTTGCTGTGTTGGGTCTTCGTTTCTGTGCAAGGGCTTTCTCTAGTTGTGGCAAGCAGGGGCCACTCTTCATCGCGGTGCGCGGGCCTCTCACTGTCGCGGCCTCTCTTGTTGCGGAGCACAGCCTCCAGATGCGCAGGCTCAGTAGTTGTGGCTCACAGGCCTAGTTGCTCCGCGGCATGATCCTCCCAGACCAGGGCTCGAACCCACGTCCCCTGCATTCTCAACCACTGCACCACCAGGGAAGCCCTGCAGGCAGATTCTTAACCACTGCGCCACCAGGGAAGTCCCAGTGTCTGCTTTAAAAAAACAAAACAAAACAAAATACTGTTCCCATCCATCTCACTCCCTCTGTTCGTTCCTCACAGGTTTTAGCCAGTAATTATTATCCCTCTAGTTTTCTGTCTGTATTTTTTTTTTTTTTTTTATGCCGCGCTGTGCGGCATGCATGATCTTAGTTCCCCGACCAGGGATCTGCACTGCGAGCACAGTCTTAACCACTGGACCACCAGGGAAGTCCCTCTGGTTTTCTGTCTTTCATTTGCTTGTGGATTGCCTCCTCAGCCCTTTTCTGATTATGTATATGAGTACAGTGCTTGCGTTTTGGTGTGAATTTTGTGGGGTTTTTTTAACATCTTTATTGGAGTATAATTGCTTTACAATGGTGTGTTAGTTTCTGCTGTATAACGAAGTGTGAATTTTGACTCCGACCCTTTTGTTCTGCTCTTAGTACCTGATCTAGACCTAGGCAAAAGTGTAAATACATGGAGGCCCTTTGTTTTCCACACCACTTGTGCCTGTTCTATCTATCTATGGACCTTTTGCCGATTTTTTTCAATGTCTTCTTTCCCCTCCTCCCTTTTTTTCATTCTAGAAGTAATAATTGTAAAAATTCCTTACATTGGTGTAGGCTTTACAGTTTTAGAGACTCATGAAGAGCTTAGTATCACTTGATGTGTTATATTTTCTTATGAGGATATTTGCATTCTAAAAGAGAACCCAGGAGCATCTGGCAGTGTGGGTGGTGTTTTGGCCAGGGGCCTTCCCTTACTTTCTCATTTGTTGATCAAGCAGACCACCACTTGATACAAGGTCAAATGAATTCAATTTCTAGGCAGTTAACCAATCTTCTTTCTGCCACACATTTGTGTTGAGAAGGGTAGGGGGCTGTAATCCTAATCTATAGAGTACCACAAGGCTTATGGGAATTAGAAATATAATTAACAAAACAAATCTTTTTGGTTTCTCAAGGGTACCTCTCTTTCAGGTCAGCATGATACTCCTACCTGAGCTTATATTCTGTCTTTTATCCTGAGGATGCTGAGGGCAGCACATAGAAGTGTAGGAATCCTCCCATATGTTCCCAGCTGGAGGTCCTGGCAACTCTTTATGAATTTCCCTGATGTGTATGACATTAGAATATCCTAAAATGCCAAAAGCCATGAGGTTTCATCAAACAGGAGCCCATATCCATTTTCCCTATGGTCAGCTTTTCTGTGGCTTTTCCCCATTCTTTCTTTTCTGTGTTTGAGAGTAGCACATGAATGTATTCACAATTGATATTAGCCCTATTTGGGGATTATTTATTGAGTGAGGATCTTATCACTTTTAAAGGTCATAGCTTTGGTATTTGGCTGTCTTTTGGAAAATGTCTCGAGCACCTTTGGTAATCTACCTGTCTCTGTTTGAGCTACGGTTCTGTGATGTAAGAATTGTGATTGCTTAGTCTGTTTTACCAATGTTATTCTCGTTTTTTCAAGAATGAGTTGAGAGTTTAGGAGTAATACCCCTAGACTAGCATTTCCCAAACTATTCCATGGCATAGGTGTTTTCTGGAAAAACAGGGGGGTGAGGGGTTTCTGTTGACACACACATTTGGAAAATTTATTTGGATTAAACAAATTTGTTTGTTTACTGCAGAATTTCTCAGAGCCCTGAATGTGCTGGTGTGCATTTTGACTCTGATACAATTCTCTGATTTATCTGGTGAATGTAATATGCAGTGTTCTCATACCTTTCTGACCACAACAGCCTCCACCAACATATTTGCACACTGGTATCTTGTGGTATATATATAGTTAGCAAGTGCTAGCCTAAGTATGTTTGGGCTTTTTTGTCCTCATAGGTCGGTTCACTGAGGGAGAATGATCCAGGAAATAGTTTCCTGACTTATGTCTTTCTGCATCTTCACACTCATTCCTCATCACCCAGCTGAACTGCATTTTCCTTTTTTTTTTTTTTTTCACTTTTTTGGCTGCACTGCAGGGCTTCTAGGATCTTAGTTCCCCGACCAGGGATTGAACCCGTGCCTCCTGAAGTGGAAGTGCAGAGTCCTAACCTCTGGACTACCAGGGAAGTCCCATATTTTCTTTGAAAACCACTGTGGATCTAGTAATTTTTATTTCAACTGAAACTAATCTCCTGTGTGACTTGGAACCATGTTTTAATTCTCCATCTTGTTCCTAACTTTTTCCTTCCCCAAAGAAACTCAGTAATTTACTTCCTGACCTTTCATTCTTGGCCTTTCTTTGAGAAGTTAAAATATACTAAGCCCTCACTATTTTTGGCATAGTGTGATCATTTAGTTCCTTAAAAAAAAACAAACAGAAAAGGTTTTATTAGTGGATGTTTAAAATCAAGTGCACCACTCTATAAGTGGCTTTAAAAATATGTGCTTAAAGTGCTTTCCCCTGAGCTAAGAACTCATCTTCCTTTTGTCTTCTAAAAGTAGTATGGCTGGCATGGCTGATGTGTGCCAGAAAAAAATCCTGCTAGACCATCAGTCCTGCTGAGTAATGGCAGGGGATCTACCTAAATAAGATAGGAATGCTACAGCAAAGGCTGTAGGCTCAACTCAGGAAAGAAAGGTAGATGAGAGCCACCTAGTTAAAACTTCTCCTGTACTCCCCTGGAAGAAGCCCATGCCTTGCCAGGGTTTTATCTGCCAGCAGCAGATGTAAGCTCTCAAAAACAGCAGGGAGGATGTTGACTGCAACAATGCATCAAGGCTGTGGTTTGTAACCTCAATAGTAAGGCAGTTAAAACCTTTTTTTTAACAAAGACATTTTGATTGCCAAATCCATAACCATTAGCAGCTGTGGTTTGAACAGTTCTCTAGACCTAACAAGTTGTCAAACAGAAAGTTGAGTTGGTGGCTTTTGTTTCTATGTGTCTGTATTGTGTTTGTGCTATTTATATCTCTGCCTTCAATAGAAAATCTGATTTGTCTGAAATCTCTGAGGTCATTGATTATTCTACTTCTTTTGTACTAAATCCATTCTTCTCCTGCCAGCTTACTGACCTTTTAGTCCATTTGATCTTATGGCTTTTGTAATAGCCAAGATCCTGTATTTAAGGAATTACGCTGAGGCAGTTCTACTGCAGGGTGCCTACAAATTGACATCAGCAAAAGAATTACTGTCTTCCAGTGGGGAAGAGAGTATTACTTGTTCCTTTTTATGAGTATCCATGCGATACAGATCTTCAGGAAGATCGCATATATCACTTCATGTGTGGAAATCATTGGCTTCTATCACCAAAGGATTGTCCATAAGTCTGAGAGATGAGAAATTAGAGAATGAAGGAAATAATAGTCAGTATTCAAACCAGGCATTGGCATTGAAAAATGCAGAGTCCCCAAATTCTCTTTTAAATTATGTGAAAATATCCTCTCTGTTTTACTAAGAAAACCTGCCAATTCATAGACCTAAAATGTATGATTCCTAAGAGATTGTGAGGGCTGCATCTGAGACCCAGCAAAGGGGGGAA